CACAGAAAGCTCTGTTGCTACTGCCCTGTACCGAAATAGCACTTCTTCGGAAGAGCACTATGACCCAACTCACGAGGATGTCCTGCATGAGCACTAGAAATTTTCCGACGCTGAAGATAGGCAAAGCACACCTGAGACGACTCTGAGTGGCCCGGACCCGCGAGAGTCCCAAGGTTGTTGAGTGAGGGTAAACAGCAGGTACCCGTTAACCTCTCAACCTGGAACCATGAAAGGACATGGTTACGTCACACTTCCCAGCCGGCAGGTTGGTGCTGTCCTTAGGGACTTGGACGTGTCAACCTGTGCTGCGTGGTCGACGGGCCACAGCGCCATCCACTCCTTGGTGACTCGGAGGTGGATTCCACCCCTTCTATGTGGGTTCTCTTTGGGATGGTCAGGCAAGTTGGGTGAACCCCTGAGTGTGGACTCACTGAGTTCGGATTGCGGTTCGTTCCACTGTTGTTCATGCAAAGGAGGCTCAGGTACACTTCTTTGGTAGGTTGTTGACTTGGGAGCATCATGAGTTGGTCTCTCTTGGATTGAGTGGTGATCATTTAGGGTGAAATGAATGCGTTCCGTCTTCACGTCCATTCGGGGTGTACGGTTTACGCTGTACACTCTTGGTGGAAATGAATGGGTTCGGTTCCCACATCACTCGCTGAGTGGATCCACTCTCCTTGGTTTGACCTGGGACTCGTGGTGTGGAAAGGGTACCGGCCCAGGGTGCGCCTGGTGCTTGCGTAGGGCCATGCTTCTGCGTGGATTTCGCCTTTTTGGGGTGGCCCTGCACCGGGAGCGATAAGGTACCAAGCGGTACAACCACAGTGGAAGCAGCCGGCCTTGACCCACACAGATGGGGCATCATACTGCCCAACAGTTCACGAGTGTCTCTGCTGACGTACAAAGCTACCGTCGCAGTTAGGTAGAACTGGTACTGAATGACCAGGACCCCATCCAGAAAGGGCACTTTGTACCTCACGATCATACTGTCGAGCACGGAGGATTCCGGACGGTTCTGTGGGAGGTTCCAAAAGACCTTATGGCAGCCATTGAAGATGTCGTAGTCTTCCTTAACTCCTTCAAAAGTGTCATCGGGACCTTCTGGTGATGTACACAACCTCGTCAGCGGCGGGGGCAACCGCACGAATAGCAGTTGTTGTCCAAACTGGGTGTGGTTTCCTCAGCGGGGGCCGTCGAGGGGCCTCTATGGAAGACTTGCTGACAAAGGAAAGAGGTGAAACAGATCATCCCTGAAGGCGACTTCTGACTGCGCCCAGAAGATGAGGAGGACAAGTTCTATGACATCATCAACTCGAGACATCGTTGGAGGAGGACCTGTGTTTGGAGGAGAAGGAGTGAGTGTGTGCAGTTGGAGATCTACAGGAGATCAAGTTCATGCTCCGTGGCCCCTTTGGCTCAAGGCTGTATCGGCTCAAACCCCGCGGGACTGGTAACTTGATTTTAACTCAAGGGGCAAACATCCATCTTGGGTGATTTGCCTGAGTCAATTTCAGGGGAACCAGTGTAAAGGGGTAGGTTTTGTATAAGAGAGAGGGGAGGGGAGGGGGTTTTTACTTTTTGTAATTAAGAGTAACCTTTCTCCTGTTTGTTGTGATTGGCCTTGCTTGCTTGTCAAACAAATCAGTTTTGAACTTTAACTTCGTGTTCTTTGCCTGGGTGAGCCTTTGCATTGTTCGTATCCCTCGTCTGTTGAAAATGCTCGAGTTCTGCCCGAACCCTCTCTTCGGCAGCCCAGATCCAGTCCAACCCGCGTTTACTCTTCAAATTCAGCAATGAAAAAACGATCAAGAAAACTAAATCCTAACATGCGACTGAAGTAGACGCTCCGATGCTTCCCGGCGTTGCAGGCACAGATGACACGAAGAACCCTGTTGCGACCGTTTCGCGACACGTTTTGCAGCCACGCCGCAACTGTCAGCGTCATAGCCCACAGCACATTGAACATGTAATAATTGCAACCGGTCGAAAGCTGCTCCCAAAGACATGCCCCGTCCAAAAGATGTTGCCAACACTGATGCGGAGGGTGAACTGCGAGCAACTCATCCAACCAGAAGATCAGCGTCTTGTGTGCTAGCGCTGGATCCACCGATGCCAGCGTCTGTCCGATGTTGTATCTCGGGGCCTTCCATCTTTCATAGTTGCGGTCCCACCGCTCGTTGCATAGGTCTGTTTTCCGACAGGCAATAAAAAACAACCCCTCCGGCAACGTGTCCCTCACACTCTCGAGCAACCAGAAAAACCACACCACGCAACAACGGGGCTGATCAGGCGGACAGAAAAGTCACACCCGCTGCGGACACAAGCAGAACCGCGAAGTGATAGTTTTCTTGATCGTGTTGCGATCGTTATGAAGATTGCCTTGTTACGACATATAGTCAACAACATTAAACATGTGGTGGTCAAACTCTAGAGGAACCGACGAACATTTTAACAGATATGCTTATGTCAGTGAATGTGGCGAGACAAAACATCATGACTTTGAACCGAGAAGTGTGCAAACTGGATCAAAGTTGATATAATTTCCTCACGCTGTGACTCACAAATGTGAGGGTGCGGTGTTTGCGAGTGTGCCCTGAGAGGAAACAACTTGCGTCCGCACACACACAGTTTGTACCGGCATGATTGTTGCAACCATTGATGGCGAGCTGGGTGGTGCATTGTGTTTGAAACGAGCAATATCAAAACGTTTTTGACTATTATTGCAGCTTCGCATTCACTATGAGCAGCGTCACTGCATGACCCCTCCAAAGCAAATCAAAAACATGCATGTAGAACGGGTCAAGTGACAAAAGAAAGCATTTGGCCATCATCATTTGATTTGAGACATTTCCAGCAAACACATTTGGAATTGTGTCCGTGCTGCGGGTCATGCCGACTTCCGTGAGAGGTCTTGGGCATATAGGCTTGTCCAGAGGGTAAAATGGAGAGTTGCCATGGCCCAATGTTGGAACATGATAAAACAATGGACTTTGGGATATTGTAGTTTTGGACAATAAGTTTGGGAATTCACCAAAGTGCCGGATTGGGTTGATGATTGGGTGTGAGGTGATGATTGTGATGATTGGCTGAGATGAAAACCTATCCACCAATTTGGGACATCTTCAACTTAAGACGCCACCAAGTGAGGCCAATCGTTCATAGACCCAAAAGTATGTTTTGCTGGATGGTTTAGAAATTCAATTTGATGATTCATTTTCTTTTGAACATGTTGGAAACGGGAGGAGGTGAGGGGCTGGTGAATTTGGATGACCAGTTGGGGGCATTAACAGTTGGGCACAAACGTTTTTTTGGTTCAAAAAATATAGGGGCCCCGACAAATATAGTATGAAATCATCCCCAAAATTGGGGGATTCTGATGGGATTTCATGGATTTCACAAGTCTATCCACCTTGGGACACTGTATCGATCCTGCCTCGCAACAGATTCAACAGAGATTTGTTGGCTTGAAGAACTTGATGGGAGCCATTCATCAACTTCTGGCGACTTCATAGCAGACCAACCCCCACACACACGATGTTTTTTTTTATTTGTCATGTCATTGCCTCACAGCAGGTTTCAGATTAGAAATTTTCATGAACAAAGACAAATTGTTCCAAACAGAAAAGGCAGGTCTGAAAATTGGTGAAATGATCCTTCCCACCAAAAAGGCAAAAGGTGCTTGTGGGAATCTTGGAGTGTAGTTTTTTTGACACCATGATGAATCTCCAGAAAGGCCTTTGCCGGCTTGTGCTTGGCATAACCTCGCACTGAACAGGTTGGAGTTCACTGAGAAATGCTGCAAGTTGTCGGGACGCCTGGATTCTTTTCATGGTTGTTACTTCCATTGGCGATGCCTGGGTTGCACGTCCAAGTTCATGTTGGTTCATTAGTGTTCATCGTGGTTTACATTCGGTCTATTGTGATCTTGGTGAAGCATCTGACTTTGGAGAGGTGCAGTTGTACTCCTTAAAATGACTTTGACCTCAACCGCACGTTGCCACGCGGAAACCACTCATGCAAACTTTTCTTTCAGTCTCTTCAAACCATTTTGAGATACCCTGCATTTTCAGCCAGAGCCATTTCCGCTTCCGGTGCTCTCTTGTGGAGGGGTGCGATGCACTCATTTTTGCTTTGCCGAGGGATGGATTTTGGGATATATATATATATATTTATATATTTATATATTTATATATTTATATATTTATATATTTATATATTTATATATTTATATATATTTATATATTTATATATTTATATATATTTATATATATTTATATATATTTATATATATTTATATATTTATATATATTTATAAATAAATATAACTAACCCAGAAATGCAAGGAACACTCGTATCCGGTTCATTCAACACAATTTGCGAAGAGCCAGATCGTGCATAGCAATAGCAAGAAAACATGTTTGGAGGAATGTGCCAATGAACATCCTCAAATTTGACGTCAACTTGGATATACCTATGGACTATGGACCATGGATCAAAACTTTAGACCAAATAAGAAACCACAAATTCATAGTTCATTAATTCATTGGTCATTTTCCAGTATCAACCAATGCATTTTGGGGGACATCTGATTCTTATATTGTTTATCAGGAACATATCAATGTGATTTTGCTGATCTGTGTCAGTCGATGTGGCAGGCAGGGCGGTTTCCCCGGTGACCGGCGTTTTGGAGCAGGTGCCGCTCCACGGAGTTGATCATTTTGATCATTGGATTGGTGGGAAAATCCATGGGAAAATCTATAAGGAAACCATGTTTGCAATGAAAACAGAGGGGTTTGATGGAGGTCCTGTAAATTTTCCCGCCAATCCAATGAGATGAGATGCCGGTTTGATGATCAAAGAGTTTCCGAGATCAAAACATCGATCTTTTGTTAGAGAATGTTTTAATCTCAGCATGGCAGTTGCATAGTACTTTTGGATGTCTCTAAGCTTCTGCTGTTCCGTTGTTTTTTTTGACATTGACGTGTAGCTTGGCGTTGCTCATGGCGCTAGCTGCAAGTGACCGAGCCTCTGCTTGGAGCGGCCCCTCGGACTGGCCCATTCGCTTGCGACTAAAAGGCTTACAGGGAGAACATGCAGAGTTCAATGGAGATTATGTTCGGGAACATCGACGTCTACCAGGTCTACCACATATTTTGGCCATCTGGAGGTTGGAGAGTGGATCTTCCGTTCTGTACCTGGAGCAGGCAGCTTGCTTGATCCGTTTTGCACGGACCGTGAGTGATGTTGAGCACAGGCGCTGGTTCCTGTCAGCCAAAATGTCGGGTCCGCCCTATGCCTGCCGCCAGTCGCTGTGGGCAGGGAACCTCTCTGATTGGATGTTGCAGGAGGAACCCGTCCAGAAGATTTGCTTGCGACCTATCATGGGGAGGTGGGAGAACCTTGCTCCTGACTTGGGAATGTCTGAACGGCCAGTGGCCAGGCAAGATCAAGCAGCGGTGAAAGAAAAGTCTGACACTTTACCCTACACCAAGGGAAGGTGTCACCAGTGGATGCAGAACGCTGCGGTGGCTGAACTTGTCCAGAACTGGAAGGACGAGATTGATGCTGGGGCCGAGCGATCTGGATACAACTGTGCTCAGGTCAAAGTTTCCCATTCTTCAAAGAGAGACCGCTCACACCTCGCAGTCTCAACATACCAGGCCGTGCTCTGTGAAGATGCAAGTGATACATTGATATTACTTGGCACGATAGAGGTCCGCGAGGAATCCGAATCCCTGTCACTCACCCTCACCAACTTCTCTGACAAGATGTTTGTTGAGATGCTGTGGGATGGTTGGGCTGGAAAGGACAAGGAGCAAGGAAAACGTCGTGGTCAATTTGGAGATGGTTTGCAATCAGCTGTTGTAGTTCTATCACGGGATCCAGGTGTTGACTTGAAAATCTTCTCCAGTGGTCATGAGTGGAGCTTTGATTGGTCCTTTCCAAGTGAAGTCGCGAAGGCTCATGGAAAGGAAGCACTACGAGTAACCACCAAGGCCAGCAGACAGAACCTCATTGGATTTGATTGTGGTCGTGATACTCGCATTAAGATCACCGGACTTCAAAAGCAAGCCTTTGATGAGTCGCAGTTTCTCTTCCTTTGTCCTCCCTATGAAGTGATTTCGAACAGCTCGGGTGACATTTTGCTGTCCGGCCAATTTCGGGGCTGCATGTATGTGCGTGAGATGAGAGTGTTGCAGCATCAAGCCGCAGCAGGGGTTGTTTCAAACCGACAAGGGTTGAACATCGCATCTCAAAACCCTGGCCAGAGCCGAGATCGCATTGGATTCCTGAGTGATGCCGCCAAACATCTTCAGACCATCCAGATTTGGAAAGGTGCGCTGTCTGGAGACAATCAGAATGTGGCCGAGTTGCTGTATGATGCTTTGAGGGATCGTTCCTCCTTGGAGGCCCGGGCTTTCCATCTGTATGCAACCCAGACAGATCAGATACCCCCGGCGCATGCCAAGCTGCTGGCTGATGTGTTCGCCGCTCGTCATCCAAATTGTTTTGCCATTTTGGAAACTGATTACAGGGGTCACAAGATCGTGACTCAGAAGCTAAAGAAGCAGGCCATCAACATTCCGCAGGAACTGTTTCAAGTCCTCCGGAAAAATTCGGAGTTCAAGACGCCAGAAGAGTATTGGAAAATGCAACAGGAGCAACTAGCGAAATCCGCTGAAAGAATTCCTTGGACAGAAAAATACCACTATGCCGTGACCATTTGTCAAGAGGCGCTGAGAAACCAAGTCTCCTACGAGGTTTCATATGACTCAGATCCAGGGGATGATATTTTCTTCAAGCTTTCAGGTGCCTTGCATGACCGCAAGATACTTGTTTCGAGAGTATCTTCAGATGGTCCTGCGAGTCGCGCATTCATTGGGATTGGCAGTGAGCTGGTCGGGATAGATTTCCCTAGTGGAACTGAGCGTGTGAACGCCCAGCATTTGAAGTCTCCTCGTTTCCAGGTCCTAGTTCGAGAGCGTCCCTTGTCGTTTTTGAACACCATCATGGGTTGGAGGTATCCCTTCAAATTGCAGTTCTTGCTCCGACCGGCGGAGTTGAATGAAAATCAGTTCAGCTTGGTGTGTCGTGAAGACTTGGAAGTCCCCTTTGTGGCACTCCCAGGCCGAAATTCAAGCCTGCAACAAGCCAAATTTGTCATCAACACCGCAGGTTGCAAGTTTCATGATGCAGGAGATTCCTACCATTGCCCGTACTTTGCCACGCAAGGAGTTTGCTTTTGTGGAGTCGACCACTTGCTGACGGCAATTCTGGAGGAGATGGAGAAATCTTTCAACATCCACCTCAATAAGATCCAGAAGCAGTGGGTGGATGTAGAGAAGAACAGGCTTCTTCGGAAGCATGAGAAAGTCTACAAAGTGCAGAAAACACAGGTGCGCCCATAGACATGAAAGCCACTTGTTCAAACACCATTCATCAGCCAAAGAGTAGTGAAAGTAGACCGATCCGACTAGAACACATTCTTGGGCTTGTCCCCAAATCTGGAAACCTCAAACTTGACCATTTGAAGGAGGAAAGCGACGAACAGTCGCAATTTCTTCTGTTTTTTTTGTGAAAATTTGATATGGCAGTTTCCATAAATGGGGTACCCAAAATGGATGGTTTATAAGGGAAAATCCTAACATGGATGATTTGGGGGTACCCCACTGACTCAGGAACCCCCTTTTTTTCTCCAATCTCCAATCCACTTGGAACCTTCTAGGTGGTGCTGCGCCCTCCTGGAACGGAAACAGCTTCTCAGCAAGGCTTCCAAGACGAGACAATCCAGCGAATTGTTCGATGCTGGACGGATTGGATAGCTTTTCCATACATCCACAGATAATTACAAAAGATAGAGTAGGAAATGGCATGGGTCCATGAAAGTATAACCGTAATGAAACAATCTTTTTTTTTGCGCCAAGAATAAAAAGCCACACGTATGTAATGTAGGTATTATGAATATGGAAAAGATAGACCAGCAATCATTATTCCCGAGAGCGTCTGAGCGAAGGGTTCTTCTAATAGTGGGGGTCTGTCAAACAGTTTGACATCTTCACATCACATCTTCAATTCTCACATCTTCTCATTTTCACATCTTCACATCCTCAAATCTTCACATCCTCATATCTTCACATCTTCTCATCTTCACATCTTCACATCTCCTCATCTTCACATCTTCTCACCTTCACATCACATCTTCACATCTTCACATCCTTACATCCTCACATCTTCACATCTTCACATCTTCACATTCTCTCTTGCCCTCTTGCTCTCTTGCCCTCTTTTTTTCCTCCTTTTCTATTTCTCTCTTAAGGCGCGGGGCAGTGCCAACGAGACGGCAGGAAACGCAACCCTTTTGCACATAACGAGGTTCGATCGCCATTTTACAAGCAACGCTTTCGCACGAAATGAAGTTCGATCGCCAAACAACTGCGGTAAAATTGCAATTTTGAGTGTGCCGCGACAACCCTTTCGCACGAAATGAAGTTCGATCGCCAAAAACTGCGGTAGAATTACGATTTTGAGTGTGCCGCGACAACCCTTTCGCACGAAATGAAGTTCGATCGCCAAAAACTGCGGTAGAATTACGATTTTGAGTGTGCCGCGACAACCCTTTCGCACGAAATGAGGTTCGATCGCCAAAAACTGCGGTAGAATTACGATTTTGAGTGTGCCGCGACAACCCTTTCGCACGAAATGAAGTTCGATCGCCAAAAACTGCGGTAGAATTACGATTTTGAGTGTGCCGCGACAACCCTTTCGCACGAAATGAGGTTCGATCGCCAAAAACTGTGGTAGAATTACGATTTTGAGTGTGCCGCGACAACCCTTTCGCACGAAATGAAGTTCGATCGCCAAAAACTGCGGTAGAATTACGATTTTGAGTGTGCCGCGACAACCCTTTCGCACGAAACGAGGTTCGATCGCCAAAACCTGAGGAAAAATTGCGAGTTTCACGGGTCCGGCGCAACCCTTTCGCACGAAATGAGGTTTGATCGTCGAAAACTGAAGTAAAATGGTACTTCTGTGTGTGAAAGTGTCTGTGTGTAAAAGCTTCTCTGTGTAAAAGCGTCTGTGTGTAAAAGCGTCTGCGTGTAAAAGTGTCTGAGTGTAAAAGCTTCTGTGTGTAAAAGCTTGCTGTGTGTCAAAGCCTCTGTGTGTAAAAGCGTCTGTGTGTAAAAACGTCTGTGTGTAAAAGTGTCTGAGTTTATGGGGAAAATCTTCTGTGCGTAAAAGCTTTTGTGTGTAAAAGCTTCTATATGTAAAAGCTTCTGTGTGTAAAAGCTTCTGTGTGTAAAAGCTTCTGTGTGTAAAAGCTTTTGTGTGTAAAAGGGTTTGTGTGTAAAAGCTTTTGTGTGTAAAAGTGTTTGTGTGTAAAAGCTTTTGTGCGTAAAAGCTTTTGTGTGTAAAAGTGTTTGTGTGTAAAAGCTTCCGTGTGTAAAAGCTGCTCTGTGTGTGTGTGTGTGTGGGGGTTTGTGTGCGTGTGTGGAACATCTGTACAGATGTAAAACTTCTATTAGGTCGTTGAATGTTTCTGATTTGAACTAGATCGGCAGGGGGGCAGTGAACCTCATTCCATCCACTGCCCAACGAAGACGGTGGTTTGAGATTGTGATATCGGGACTGATCATCCCGACGTACCTGCAGAATTTCACATTTTTCACTGCAATGGCCAGGGGCTAAGCCAAGAACCCCAAAAACAACAATTTCATGTTCGATGGTATTTTACACATGGTCCTTGCGATATTTTTCTGAAATGGCGGCGGGTTAAGCCAAGAACCCTACGGCGATCATTGTCACGGTCTACGTTTTATTTGATGATATCTATTTGATGGTATTTATGGTCGTGATTGTCTTCTCGGAGTATCTTCTATTGGTCGACTAATTCATCTAGGATGGTTGTTTTCCTGACTAATTTGCACGTTTAAGGACTCAGTTCCTGATGGATCACTTAAAAGATCCAATTTTGTCTAGTGTGATTTCTATGGTGACTCCGACATGGTGCCATGGAGCCAATTGAGGCAACCCTTCTTAGGGTGACTGTCGACTGATCGGATTACAGAATTGACACTTTTAATCTGGTAATTCGTTTAAGTAAAGTGCAACAGACGGCCTTTCGGTTATGCACCATTTTGCGGAGTCCCGCTGTTCCTGTGGTCCCTTGGGAACCTCTGGATTCGGGTTCCTGCTGCCTGAAGCCGTACCGAACAATCAGAAACTCTCTTCTTTCCGCAGCTTGAATTTTTCAGAAAGCAACAAGTCAAGAAGGCACCAGGCATGTCCTTTTCCTGCAGGTTTGGTCACTTTGGTTTCTGGTGAGGTTGAACATATTATGCACTTAATTCGTTGGAACTTGATAAGCTGTTTATGCCCATGTGGCTTGACTTGACCACGGTCCCGGTTGGGTTCTTAGGATTGAACTGAGTCCTTTTAATTCTAATTGTTCTGGTTGTTTCACCCTCTTCACCAACTAGTCCCCCATTCGATCCTTAATTCTTCCCCCGTGCCCCCCTGTAATGTGTCGTGGGGTTTAGGTGTGTGCCCTGTTTTGGTCAGGTCCGTCTCGCCGTGTAGGTTGGTTCTGGAGGTCCGTCCGTTCCCCTCCCCTTCCTGCGCTGTTTTTGGCCTTTTGCCCGTCGTTTGTGTCCGCTTTTTCTTCCTCTTGCCTTTCAGGGTTGACCCGGCTCCGGCCGGGTGTGTGTGTGGAACATCTGTACAGGTGTAAAACTTCTATTAGGTCGTTGAATGTTTCTGATTTGAACTAGATCGGCAGGGGGGCAGTGAACCTCATTCCATCCACTGCCCAACGAAGACGGTGGTTTGAGATTGTGATATCGGGACTGATCATCCCGACGTACCTGCAGAATTTCACATTTTTCACTGCAATGGCCAGGGGCTAAGCCAAGAACCCCAAAAAACAACAATTTCATGTTCGATGGTATTTTACACATGGTCCTTGCGATATTTTTCTGAAATGGCGGCGGGTTAAGCCAAGAACCCTACGGCGATCATTGTCACGGTCTACGTTTTATTTGATGATATCTATTTGATGGTATTTATGGTCGTGATTGTCTTCTCGGAGTATCTTCTATTGGTCGACTAATTCATCTAGGATGGTTGTTTTCCTGACTAATTTGCACGTTTAAGGACCCAGTTCCTGATGGATCACTTAAAAGATCCAATTTTGTCTAGTGTGTGTCTGTGTGTATATATGTATATATGTGTAAACATGTTTCTCTGCGTGTGTCTGTGTTCGAGAGCCTATCAGCATATCTGTATGTTTGTATTTTTGCACATCTTCAAAACCCTTCTATACAGCATACCTTGTCTGTCTCTTGCAGCTAAAACCCTGACATCTTCACATCTTCTTACCTTGACATCTACACATAATGAACATATTCACATGATCTCAAGTAACATTCTCATGAACATATTCATGCAAGTCTTTGGCGCCTGCAAATCATACAGCTACATAACACATCTGAGTACCTATACACATACTCGCTCTCGGGCCAACCATCGTCTAGTTTTTTACTAGGATTTTTGGTGTTCCATCTCTTTCGGTGCTGCTCTAAAGAGTTATCAATTTTCCTAGGAGGATCAACCAACCAGCAAGGAAGCTATTTGTCTGGCAGTGTGGAGAACCTTTCTGAAGAGGAGCGAAAGATTCTGTCCGCAGTGCGCCTGGTGGTTGCAGAAGTTGAGACGCAAAACTGGGAAAAGAGAGAAAGCAGTGACCCCCAGGCAGCTTTGCTGGGCAGCCAACTCATTCAATTTGCTTTGGCCATTCATGGCAATATCCACGGCCTGCCTGTGAAGAGCCAAATGGATGTTTACAAGAACAGGCTATCAACGCGAGCGCTTGCAGTTGGTAGTCCTGAAGCAGGGCAAGAAGTTGAAGGTCGAGTTGGTCGGGTTGCCATGCGTCGCTTGGAAGATTACTCTAGGCTTCTTCAACCGCATTTGAGTGCTGTTCGTGTGCCACCTGGCAATCAAAGTCTGCTGGCGCTTATGGATGCTGGAATCCAGGGGGTCACCCTGCATGGTGCTCCAGAAATGGGAGGCGCTCATTCGTTCGGAACCGGCGAGGAGGGTGAGCCGGAACCGGCAGTCGTTGTGGATGATGAGGATGAACCTTTTGGATCAGCATCTGCGGAGGACAAAGCATTTCTCCAATTGGTCCGAGGCATTTTGCTGCAACGTGAACGGACGCATTGGTCGACGCATTTCTCAAAACTCACTGAAGAAATTCGACGCCAGCAGGTCACCATCCCTTCGAGGTTCCAAAGTACTTCTGGCTGGTGGTGGCTGATGCAGATGCTGAGGGAATGGCACAGCGTGTTCAGGGTTGGAAGTGCCCATAGTTCTGCAAGCAATGATACCAATCCTTTGATCTCGGTGGTGCCCAAGGAGACCCACCAATGAGCGATCAGAACAGCTCCAAATTTCTAAGCCACTTGTAGGCAACACACACACACACATCCACTTCTAAAACAGGTTTGTTAAAGGTGTTGATTCCTAGGGAGGGTATGAAGCTGTTGACCAAACTTGCCACTTCTCTGTGTGGGCTCCAGGTTTCACCGTAAGTTGCGGTTCACTCCAGGAAAAAGGGCTGGCCCACAGGCTTTGCGTTTAAACGTGCTGACCTCCATTTAGGGGTGGTCAAATGGTAAAACCATGTAAAACCAAGTTTTGATCCATTGCGTGGGTCCGGTACTATCCGATTTTGGAACCATACCCATCTTCAGAATGCTTGTGAATGTTGGCAACGCAGCGCTAGGGCTTGGGCTTGGGCGCGGGAACAGCATGTTGGACTGGCACAGTGTCTTGGAAAAGATTGTTGCCTTCGTTGTTGCTGCAGGTAGCGCTGGGCTTATCGACGACGTCATCAGACGTTTTTGAAGTGGAGGCCGGTGGGTGCTTCTTCACTGAGCCAGTGCATTTCCAGAAACTCAAATGGGAACGGCTCAAAACCTACTATCTTATATATGGGGGCATGAACATCCATTGAGAGGAATGACGCGCAGCAAGATTTCATAATCATGCCCGCTCGTTTTGATAAATCAAAGTTGATGGAAACCCTTAAACATGGGCAAAATCATGGCAAAATCATGGCAAAAAAGAGGCTTTGGTATGGCTATCAACCTCCATCACAATGGAGAAATTCTGAATTTCCGCCCTAAAGTTCGCCACTCACTTGGTACTTTCGTCCTGGCTCCGCGGATGGAGTGTGTCAGCATAAAAGCCTCCTGGTGCTCAGTGCTCTAGGGGACCCATTTCAAGTGCCTTCTGAGAAAGTAGTTAATCTTCCGAGTTACGGATAAAAAGAACTGTGAGACTTTACATCTGATGAAGGGTGGCGTGGGACTTTACATCACATAACAGGACATCACATAACAATACATCACATTGAAGGGTGGTGCGAGACTTTACATCACATAACAGTACATCACATCACAATACATCACATTGAAGGCACAAAAAAGAAGAAGGGTGGTGTGAGACTTTACATCACACAGCAGTACATCACATGGGGCTTGTGTTGGGAAGGAAGCCAGAGCACGAAACCTTGTGTTTTTTGGGTAACGTGGCTTCGGCCGGCGATGAAGATGAAAGGTACCTCGTGTGTGCGGCGGGTGGTGCGGCTGCGGTTGTTCCTGACGCGAACCGGTTCTCCCTTGGTGTTCTTCCACGTCTCGTTATTCATGTGTGCGTAGTTCTATGCGCTTCTTGAATGTCTGGTTGCAGATCGCAGTGTAATGGCTGCGTGATTCTTGTCATGTTCTGTGGCCATGTGCGTAGATACATGCGGGTGAGCCAAGTGATGCTGCAGAACAGCTGAGAGTCGTGAATCGTACTGGAGTGGCTGCATCAAGGTTGCGATAGTGATTTGTCACTAGATTTTCTCAATTTATGCGCTGGTGATTTTCCTTTTAAAATTCCTTTTAAAAAGTGCTTCAACGTCGTTTTTTTCGCTTTGGCGCTGGGATCCGGTTTTGGAGCTGCAATTTCTGTTGTCATTACGTGCCAAAAGTGTCTCTGTGTAAAAACTTCTTTGCGTAAAAGCTTGCTTTTGTGCAAGCTTTGTAGTACAAAGTAGTACTGGGAAGTACGTTGTGCAAGTCTTGTAGTACAAAGTTGTACTGGGAAGTGCTTTGTGCAAGCTTTGTAGTACAAAGTAATACTGGGACGTGCTTTGTGCAAGCTTTGTAGTACAAAGTAGTGCTGGGACGTGCTTTGTGCAAGCTTTGTAGTACAAAGTAGTGCTGGGACGTGCTTTGTGCAAGCTTTGTAGTACAAAGTACTACTGGGAAGTGCTTTGTGCAAGCTTTGTACAAAGTAGCACTGGGAAGTACTTTGTGCAAGCTTTGTAGTACAAAGTAGTAGTCTTGTAGTACAAAGTAGTACTCGGAAGTGCTTCGTGCAAGTTTCGTAGTACAAAGTAGTACTGGGAAGTGCTTTGTGCTAGTCTTGTAGTACAAAGTAGTACTCGGAAGTGCTTCGTGCAAGTTTTAGTACGTAGTACAAAGTCTTGTAGTACAAAGTAGTACTCGGAAGTGCTTCGTGCAAGTTTCGTAGTACAAAGTAGTACTGGGAAGTGCTTTGTGCTAGTCTTGTAGTACAAAGTAGTACTCGGAAGTGCTTCGTGCAAGTTTCGTAGTACAAAGTAGTACTGGGAAGTGCTTTGTGCTAGTCTTGTAGTACAAAGTAGTACTCGGAAGTGCTTCGTGCAAGTTTCGTAGTACAAAGTAGTACTGGGAAGTGCTTTGTGCTAGTCTTGTAGTACAAAGTAGTACTCGGAAGTGCTTCGTGCAAGTTTCGTAGTACAAAGTAGTACTGGGAAGTGCTTTGTGCTAGTCTTGTAGTACAAAGTAGTACTCGGAAGTGCTTCGTGCAAGTTTCGTAGTACAAAGTAGTACTGGGAAGTGCTTTGTGCAAGCTTTGTAGCACAAAGTCGTACTGGGAAGTGCTTTGTGCAAGCTGTGTCGTACAAAGTATTTTGGGAAGCTTTTCTGTGTAAATGTGTCTCAAGCTTCTGTGTGCAAAAGCTTTCTGCGCCAAATTGTTTTTTTGTGCGAGAGACTTCTCTCTGACAGTAAAAGCTTTCTGGCGTGCAGAACAGCTGAGATGAGTTGAGAACAACTTCGAGGAGATGAGAAAGGTTGATCAGTGCTCGGATGAGATGAAAACAGTTGAGAAGAACTTACTTAGATGACATGTGAGAAGAGATGGGTTGCGATGAGAAGAGGCGAGATGAGGTGAGAAGAGCTCACACGATTTGAGATGAGATGAAGTGTCGAGTGTGAAGTGCAAGTGTGAAGTGTGAAGTGCGGGGTGTGAAGCGTGGACTGTGAAGTGTGAGGAAAATGTTCGCACCGGGGTCGCGCGCAGGTCATGTTCGTGGACAGCAACAGTGCAACAGGTTCGCACAAAGCATGCACGCACGGGCCTGGTTGGCGCACGGCGCATGCAAGTTCTATAGATGAGAAAGGAGTGATCAGGCCATATCAGGGCCTGGCGTTAATTCGCTCTTGCGTATCTCTTTGATCATTTGACATCGCTTGAGCGTGATGGCAGGTCCAGATGATATTCTGGCTTGCATGCGCTAGGACTTCGACGAAAAAAAGGTTGCGGCGATTTTCTTACTAGACTCACTAGACTCAGATCCCGGTACTGAGAAAAAGTGTCCAAATCTCTTCAACAAATGTGTTGCTGGTTGTGGGTTCTTCTCCCGACCTTGCTTTTGCCCTGAGAGGACCTCGTGTTAGAGCACAACCGCCACGGTGACATACCTTGACGAGGTCCTTATCAACGCTGGGCTGGACTATTTGCCACCAATTGGTTCCCGGGCAACTGTTTGACTGTTTGGAGATGGAAAGACCATGAAAGACCCGTTTTTTTGAGTTTCATGTTGGATGCCAAACAACCCTGTGATGAAGAAGAACAAGTTTAATGAGTTTAATGCAACAAATGAAACTCATTGAAACGCTTGGAGTTGCAGATGGGACCTGGTGGCGATGGCCCCGATGTTGCCTTCGTGTACTTTTGAAATACGGTGTTTTCAGTGTGCCCGGATCATTTTCCCTGGAATTTCACTGATCCGTTTTGAGCAAACTGAATCAAATCACAAGAAGGAATTCGAGGTGATTCGAGATGTAAAACGATGTAAATGTCATTAAATGTCCCATGTTTTTCGATTTTCAGTGTTCCATAGTTTGATCTGTTTTGACATGTATTATTTTGTAACCCGTGTGCGCTCTTGAATCACAATCATGTTGAGAATTGTTGAGATACCACAAGTCATGTTGATTTAAAACCCACAGACTTGACTGGGGAGGATATGAGGTCATCTCGGTCATTTTCAGTTCCTGATCATCCATTTTCAGATGTCTTTGGCACCTGTTGCGAAGTGTTGAGTTGTGGGCTCCGAAATCGATCTTCCAAGTGGCACTTGAGCCCAGACTTAGAGGTTGAGAGGTATATCGGATTATATCAGTACTCACTATATCCCACACAGGCCCATACTTTCGAATTTGAACTGCTCATGGCTCCAGAGATTTGATGGCCTAGGTGTGGTGATGGAAACACCTTAGCTGGAACTAGAAGAAGGTCCGACCACTTGGTGTTTTGGACGTCAAACGCACGAGCAAAATAGGACGCACAACCCGTGGGGATGATGATGTTGGAGACTGGGCCGCCCCGGATACATAGGGATTTAGTATCTGGGATTACCAAATTTTTTCAGGGGGATTTACCCTTTGGTAAACTAACATGGTTATGGAAAATGGCCCATGTATACTTGATTTATCCATTCAAAATGGTGATTTTCCATAGTTTTTTGTATGTTTACCATGGGGGGGATTTAATGGGTCTAACCTCTCATCATCCTCATCCAACATACTGTCGATGATCCATCCGAGGTTTCCTGAAATGGGGATACCCCAAAATGAATGGTTTATAATTGAACACCTTATGAAAGTTTATGATTTGGGGGTACCCCCATTTTAGGAAACCTCCATATGATTTTGGGAGCTCCCGACTCTGATGATTTTTGTGAAGGAAACTGCTCAAAATCACCCAAACTTCTGTTGGAAATACATCGAAGTTGTGGTCACATGTTTCTTTGATTGCTGTTTTCGCAACCACATGAACTGCAAACACACTGAAACAGCAGATTTGGAACGATTTGAATCCAAGAGATACCAAGCATCAGCTGACAGCAATTGACTCAACGTGTCTCCAGGGCCCCAGCTGTGTGGGCTGCACCCAAGCTGCTTGAGGCTCCGAGTGTAGCACCAAGTAACGGTGAGGGTAGTAGTAGCGCCAAGGGGGCAATAGAGTAGTAGAATGCTGATCGAGATGTAAAGAACTTTATGTTGTTCTAACCAAGTGCAGTCGGATTTGTGGATTAGCCAACTGGAGCTAGCACAAAAAATGATGTCCAACCACCGACAAATCCATTTGTTCGGATCCAAGTTCGATCTGAGGAGTTCAAAGAGCTCACCAAAAATACTGTCAAGGTGGAACGCCCAGTCATAAGTTGGTTGAATATAGTTCCACTTGCCGCGAACGATAGGTACTGGAGTTATGTCTACCAAGTGAGTTATCGTTTGGGGCCCCACCTTGCAGGGGGTGAGTAAAAGATAAAGATGGTACATAACAACGCCAAGGGCTGGCCGTTCATTCGGAAGGAGGCGCGAGATCGAGTCAGATCTCACTGGCCACTGTCGGACCTCAACCGCGCGCGGCAGATCTCAGTGGCACTGCCGGACCTGAACTGCGAGCTCCAGATCTCAGTGGTCTCTGCCCACGGAGATCTGGCGCTCGCGGTTGAGGTCCGTCGGTGCCCATGCCAGAACCCAGAATAGATGCCAGATAGAATGCCAGAAATGTCAGATAGAATGTCAGGGTATATGCCAGATGAATGTCAGGACATATGCCAGAAAGAATGTCAGATAGAACGTCAGATTTTGTATCCACGGTATGTCAGAAACTATGTCAGAATAATTGTCAGGGTGGGGATCACTCGAAGTAACGTAATTGTCTAGTTTTTTTTGGTTTTGTTAAATTTTAGCTCCCACCACCCTAGTCCGGTGAATTGTAGAGGCAGGTTTTGAAAGGACATGTAACGTGCAAGTAAGACTGTTGGCTGTATTAAACCCCAACTCTACCACTTGATAAATTCGAAGCAAAGGATACCAAAGGTGTAGAAAGTTCTTGCAGTGTTGACCGCGGTCCACTTTTGGCCCCAACCAACAACAATGGCCAACATCTGGTTCAATTTTTTTGGCTTCCGTTGTGGGTGGTTAAATATGTAAAAACGAGAAATTTCTCCAGTGGTATCCAATTTTGGTGAACCCCGCAGCCCCCTATTCTGAAAGTCCAGTGGTGAATCTCGGCAGCGCCAGGCTGTGCCAGTGAGCTTCATCGAGGTTCGGGTCCAAGTTTTGACCATTTTCAGATATTTTTGGGACCATTGATGCCATTTTGATCCACTTGGTGTCACTATTTGTGACCATTGTAACCCTCAGATGTTTATGGATGATGAGTTGCATTACGATTTTCTGATCACAGAAACATCCCCTTTTTGTTTTTTGTTTTTTGTAACTTCCAAATATATTTTTTTGGACAAATAGATTAAGAAAACGATGCTTTCGCACTATTCGAGTGGGATTTTAGGTCGTTTCTCTGCCATCAGCTCTGAAAATGCCAAAATGCCATGATCCTGCGGAAGCTGCGTCGTAAGAAAAGTCGCAAGAAAGATGAAAAGTCGCTGGATGCGGGGCTGCACAGGAAATGGTGGATTTAAGCAACTAATTAACTAATCCCATGCCCCCCATAATATAAAAACCTCTTAAGTATGGCCAAAGATGTGTAAATCTCCTACTAAACCATGGTCTCTTTGGGGTGTTTAATATTGGGTGGAAGGGAGCAGATTGGTAACTGAGCCAACTATAGCAAAACAACGAAATTGAGGATGTCACCAACAAACTTCGGGATTTATCCGGTTTGGTAAAATTCCATGTTGAATGGGAAAAAACCATCTCCAAATGTGATTTTTCTTTGCCAGGTATATATTCTGATCACCCAGAGTTTTTTTGCTGAGCCCCTCTCCCCTCAGGATGTGGTTAGTGTCCTTAAACCTCGTGGCCCTTGTGATCGCTCTGACCACTTTGGGAACGCGCACCGCTTGTGCACCGCTCCGTGACCTCCGGGACCTCCGGGACCAGTTGAGAGGTACCGTGCTGAACGTGACGCTGCCAGTGCCGTCCCCGGTGCCCATGGTGCCCGTGCCAGCGCTGCCGGTGCCCACGGTGCCCGTGCCGGTGCCCACGGTGCCCACGGTGCAACCCGAGGTGGTCACGGTGCAACCCGAGGTGGTCGCGGCAGTCGCGCCCACCTCGGTGGTCACCCAGGTCCCCCCGTTGGACGACTGCGATGGCCGCGAGGACCGCTTCGTGGTGGAGCCATGTGCGGAGCTCATGGCAGATGCAGCCCAAGCAGCCCATAGGTTTGATGAAATTTATGCGCGACAAGCCTGGGGCAGTCGGGTTCAGGAACTGGGAACGCACACGAGAAGTGGCCTGGGAAGTGATATGAAGGGCGCCTTCGATTGGATCACTGGCCTCACCAAGTTCTTCAATCAGAATCCCGAGCCGCTCGGCCATAGTGGATTCATAGACTGGAACAGGCAGAAGACGAAACACACAAATTCAGAAATAGAACTAAAATAGAACTAAGATGAGATGAACTAAGCACATGCAAGAGAACAAGGTCCCCTTGTTTGCCCCTTGTTCGACCTTTTTCATTGCGGGCCGCGCATCCCGTGAAGTGCGTCGTGTTTCGCTCGCTCGCAGGCTGCAGACCATTGCGGATATCCCCAGTGGAGATGCCTGGCGCGGTGGATGACGGGACTTTTTTCCACAGGGGAGTCCACCTCAGAAGTAGCTTTAGTGTCCGATTGGGAATAATAAATGATAATCATTTGGAATAACTGGGATGGTTTGAATACTTTTAATATAGTCATCCCCAAGTCACCATTTTTATGTGATCTCAACCATCCCCAGCCGGTAGGTTTCAGCTTTCCAGGACATGGGATGGCAGATGGCCGTGAGGCACTTGAACACTGCGAAGCTCTACTTTGGCGGTGATATCGCCAAGAGCGTGGCGGTGGACAACGCCAAGAGGTATCGAGCTCATGCAACTGGGATGCGAAAATGTAGAGGGTACCCTTTGGTAAACTAACATAGCTATTGAACATGACCATTTATATATTTATAGTGAATTTTCCCATTAAAAATGGTGATTTTCCATAGCTATGTTAAATTACCAGAGGGTATCCATCATAGTCCTTAAATGGAGAGCCAGAGCTACGGATGAAGTTTCCGAGAGGCACATGATCGTGATGTGATGAAGCTTCTCAAAAAGTCTTGCAAAGGGAACAGAAGTAACCCTGCATTTGGTGATTGAGGTGATTCAGAAGTGTAACTTTAGTGTAATCAGTCATGTGGACATTATATAATGGTCGCAAACGCGAAATCATCACTTTTGAAATCCTCTTACCATATCACATCCCTTTACAAGAATAGTTGGGTGGTTTTGCAAAGCTTCTTTGCAATCGATTTGCCCAAGGATGGGGGTAATCATCATATTCAACATATTTTTCATGGTACCCAGATTCTCTTGGGTCAGGATATCACCACGGGCCCCTTTGGAACATCCCCCTATTTTTTTGCTGAGGAAAACAAGATTTTGCAGCACTGGGATCTGTACTCCTGCGGAGTGCCCAAATGGTCTACCACTTGCAACTCCACGAAGAATAGCTTCGATGTGATCATGATCCGGGATGCTTTGCAGCATATTGCCATCAGCAAGGCAGGTCTTCCCCAACAGCCCGTTGCGGGTTTGTTTGAGGGTCCAAACCCAAGGGTTGATCGTCATTTTCTCGCTAAGCATTTTTCAGTTGAAACGGTGCCCCCGTTTCATTCATTGGAAAATATTTACAGTCTTACTGGTTTTATAATCGAGATGTTTTACCCTCTGGTAATTTAACATAGCTATTGAAAATCACAATTTTTAATGGGAAAATCCACTATTAATGGTCATTTTCCATAGCTATGTTAAATTACCAGAGGGTACCAACTGTTTGATCTTCATCACTTCATCCCCAAGTTTGCAGCGTGTCGAAGGTGCAGCAGATTCTGCGCAAGGTGATCTTGGACTCTGGAGCAAAGTGGTTCATCACTTCAAGTTATCCTGCCACTGACACTCTGAGAACCGATCCATATGGCTGCAGTACGAATGAGACTCCCGTCATTTGTTTTGGTTGTTGTTGTTGTTGTTGTTGTAACTGCTTCCAGGTCTATTTCTGCGATTTTTTGGGACTTGGATTTGTCTTTGGGCTTGTGTTTTTCGGGGAGAGGTGTTTCCCTTCGACAATCACCAACTGAGCCAAGCCCGCAAGTTCTGGGCATGGCTATCTCGGGCAACATGGCTTGGATACATCTGAGAGAAAACACAAACGTCCTCGAACAGAAGTTGAAATAGGGGTTGCTAGTTGGATTCCGATGGTTTCGATCATGGAAATACTGGATTTACCCATTAACAGCATGGTGATTTTCCATATAGTTATGTTAGTTTACCAGGCCGGGTAATCCATTCCAAAGGGGGTTCCAAACTCCAGCTGCCAAAGTCTAGGAATCTCTTCTGCAGCAAGGGGGCTATGCCGGCAGGCGATGGGGGTTGGTATCCCATCGCGTTGGACTGCGCACCCTTTCACCTGCCAAGTCCTGCCTTCAAAACTGCCTCCCATGGCACCTTTAAAATTGAAAATGCGCCTTGGACGCGGTGTCTTCAAACTCAGTGGTGAGGTGTTTTTTGTTTTTTTTGGGGGGTTGGAAAAAAAAAAACGGCTTCAAATTTGCTGGGTTTGATAGGATTGTTGGAAAAAGAGGGCTATGGCTCAAGATGATCGGCTTAAGATCTTTTTCTGGGCCAGTTGGGATCGACCAACTAATTTTTTGTGATGCACTCGCAGGACGCAACAAGCTGGGACCAAAATAAGTTACCCTCTGGTAAACTAACATAGCTATTGAAAATCACCATTTTCAATGGGAAAATCCACTATTTCTATGGCCATTTTCAATAGCTATTTTGACATAACCAGAGGGTAGCTCTCCACTAAGGACTTTTTGTATATCTACAAGATTGACGATGCATTGAAGGACGGTCCGCAAGCGGAGAAAAGTATCCCAGGCCATAGCCTTTAAAATGATCACCCATGGATTCCGTAGATCCACCAACCATTTTACCCTCTGGCCCTCTGGTAAACATACAAAAAGCGAACTGGAAAATGGCCATCATGGCCATAGAAATAGTGGATTTGCCCATTAAAAATGGTGATTTTCCATAGTTTTTTGTGTTAGTTGACCAGGCCGGGTAAAGCTTTTTGGAGAGAAACATCCACCGGCTGATGCTGTGCAGGAGGCGGTGCTTAACATGAAGCCCTGTCCCAGCTTTGCACCGGCCAAGCCCACGCCAGTCACAGCGGCCACGCCAGAGATGCTGCGGCCGCAGTTCGCGCGGAGTTTTTCGCGCTTCAGAAATCCGCAATGAACGGTGCTCAAAAAGGCACCGTAGTCTTGAGGTGTGAAAAAAAGGCGACTCCGGGTCTGAGATTTTTGTTTGGATGGAGGTTCTTGATGATTTGAAGAACATATTCACAAGCAGGCAGGGGTAAAAAAAAGATGCTTCTGACTAACTTATGACGTCTTGTGACTGTTCGCAACAGTTGCCTGCGCGCCCTGATTCGGTGCTGTGCTCTTCCCTTTGGGGTGCAGAAAATGTTTAGCAGGGTGTCAGGCTTGGACACTCCACGACGAGGATTGTCCCAGTGAAATCGACAGCCGATGTTGGTGTAAAGTCAACATTTGACCAGTCATTTGACCGAATAACTATTCTCCAGTCATGGTGTAGGCCTAACATTTTGACATATTTTGACTCACTGACTCACCTATAAATAGCTGCAGTTCCGGCCATGCCAACAGTTGAGTAACACTCGCGCTGGTTGATTTCTTTGGGAGTTCACCCGCCGGAATCTTGGGAACTAACTTACCAAAGATGTGGGGATGAGAACTACAATATACCATAGGACCATATGTATCCATGTATTGGGGGATGAACATCAATAAACTCCCAGCTATTTTGCTGAACAGCAGGGTAACAGGATGAACCAACCCAACTACCCACAGCCATGGGGCCGACAAGTCTGACCCCATCGCCGTTTCCAGCTCCGGGCAAAGAACCGGAGTCAGAGTTCCTCGCGGGGGAAAAAGGCAGCGAAGCATCAGCCAGGCAATTGAAACAGAAGTGTTGTGGGGAAAAGCATCAGCGAAGTAGAATGGCAGGTGTTTTCATCACAACTACCCACAGTTTCCGGGCGGATGCCTCCTTGAAACTGTGGTGTGGCTCAGCACATTTCATCGACGCTTGATTTTGGTGTCTCCCCATGCGGCCAGGTGAAGCGAATCATGGCGCTGACACTCCAGCCACTGGGAAAAGGCTGGTCATTTTTCTGTTCCATTTCTCGGAAAATCCTGGATCCATCATATTGAGATTATTGAGGGATTCTCAAGGACAAAGCAAGATGTTTTTTACCCAGGTGAAGGGTCAAAAAAAAGATCAAAAACAATGGGGTTTGGACTAGGAAAAATAAAGAGATTCAACCAAACAAGCACATGATGGGTACATGAACATTTTAGGCGAAAAAGTGCAGCAGTGGAGTGTATACCCCAATTTCTTGTGATCTTAAAGGGAAAATCATGACAAATGGGGGGAACACATCATTGAGGGGATATGATCCAACAAGAAATGGCGGTTGAACCAGCAACAATTATGGATTTGACCAACTTCAGAATGGGGAACTTAGAATCAATCAAGGGGATGAGACTGCAACCAACAACCAGAGGGTATGTAAATATATAATAATATAATATAATATATGTATATATATATATATACGGACATTGATATTTTGGACATCCACTAAAATGCGACCTGCCAATAGTTGACTGGTGCTCTTGGGTTTAGGGTCCTGAATTGAGACCATTTTCATTCTCGAGTTTTTGACATCGAGTTTTCTGGCCCGGCTTTTTTTCTGACCAAGCCACTGAGGGTTGCAAAAAGCGGCAGAAATCAAAGAAGAAAATACCTTTGCCATCCTAAGGATCCTTCATTTCTAGATGCAAAATTCCCAATGCGATTTTTTTTTGTGCGGGGATTGCCAATGATTTTCCACCGAGGTCCTATGGCTGCCATGGCATCGTGCAGAAAAGCAGCGTGCAGCCTGGCGGGTTGAAACCAGGAGCTAGTGACCTGGCGCTCCGACGAAGCTGCCAGTTACTTTGGAAAATACCCTGCTTTTGCCGAGGTTCCCACTTGATCATTTCTAAAGAGGCGTGAAACATGCAACGACTACCCCGCCAGCAAGATGTCTTGTCTATAGGCTTTAGTTTCAGATTGGAGGCTTCAATAGAACAGCCATATTTTCGTAGATCCTTCCCTCCAGTTGAGGTGGATTTTCATATGTTTTCATATGTTTTCATCCCTGAGATGTTGATCCCTTTGATCAGCTGAAATCTGGGATCAATGCCATCTTTCCCATGGATTTTCCCATGGATTTTCGGCTCCAGTGGGATCGGAAAGATGGCGGCAGCGCTGGCTTCGGGCGAGAGTAGCGGCTCAGCAGCAGCTGGCGACCGCTGTTTTGATGTGAACAGAAGGGGTACAGGTTTTGGTCCACTCGCATTTATCTCTATCTCTGTACCCATCTATCATATATATATATATATATGTATAAATAAAATTAGATATATAGATAATTCCATGAATAATATTGAATAATAAATAAATAAATAGACAAATAGTTATATATATATAATATATATATATAATATAATATATATATAATATAATATATATATATGTATACCTAAATATGAATATGAATGTAAATTGAACTAGACACATCATATTTATTTACATCGTCAAAGCATCAAACATGGGGTCTGAATTTCAGCGAAGATGGGTCTGCTATGACCTTACAAAATGGGAGAGATCGTCAAAATGATGGCAATGTGAATGGGGGAAAATGTATGGAAAATGATGATTTTTTGACCATCAGAGTTTTTTTGTTGTTCTTTTCAGATTTTCAGAGATTTTTTTGTGGATGGTTGCGATGTTTCCTGCACCAGTTGTTAGATGTTTCATCCCATTATTATCCCATGATTCCTCCCAGTAGCCCAGTAGCCAACTGTGTCCGTTCGAAGATGTTTCACCAGGTCTTAGCATTGAGACTTCCTTTGCGAAAGATGTGCCGCCAACTGAGAGACGTGTTTTTTTTGGAGGAGTTTTTTTTATTGGGGAATCCACTGGGGGAAGTCGTTTTTTGAGTTTTTCCACTTACCCTCTGGTAATTTGTTACATAGCTATTGAAAATGACCATTTATAGTGGATTTTCCCATTAAAAATGGTGATTTTCCAGTTCGCTATGTTAGTCATTACCAGAGGGTAGATTCCAGATCGACATTCTGAGATCAGTTCGTTGGAGTCCGTTGGAGATGATACCCAGATTTGATGATTTGAAAACAACCACCTATGAATTTTCGGCAAGTGGCATTGTTCTTCTCATCAGGCAAGGTTCCCCCTATCTGGACTATGAGCAACTGGTGCTCAACAGCAACAAAGAGGGGATGGACTTCTTGCGAAAGGGTCAATACAAACAAGGCCGTTTGGAACGACCGATGTTGGACGGGATTGGGATGGTTTCAAACGCAGGGTTTTGCTTAAAGAGAATGGTTAATGATTCATTAATGATGGTTAATAAATATCAATGATCATTAGTGAATGTTAATAGTGAATGATGATGGTTGATCTTAATGATCGTTAGTTCATGTTGATAGTAAATGATGGCTGATTAAAAGATGGTCAATCCTGATACTTAGTGGTGACAGTCAATGACGCTTTTCTTTCCAAAAAGTGATGTCCCCAGTCCCCAGAAAACATATTGTCCTCCCATTTTTTCCCACATCGAGCAGAAATTGGATTTTAGCAAAAACTTAGATTTTCTCACACAGAATTGGGATTTTCCCCATCAATCAGCTGAATTTTCCTGCAATGCACATGTTCATCCCCAAAATTATGTGCTTTTCCACCCAACAAAAACATGAGATTTTCCACATCAATCAGCTGATTTTCCCACCCAAAAATGTGTTTTTCCCACCCAAAAACATGTGTTTTTCCAGCCAAAACATGATTTTCCCACCCAAAAAATGTGTGTTTTTCCAGCCAAAAAACATGTTTCCCTTTTCATCCAACTCGTCGTCCGTTTTTTTGTTGAAAATCGCGCAGCCTTCGAGCAGCTGAAGTATGCAGAAGCAGTGGTTGTTTCGAAACAGGGCCAGGCGGGCACCATTTTTGGTTCGGCATGGGTTGAAAACATGGTTTACCCTCTGGTGAACTAACATAGCAATGGAAAATCACCATTTTTCATGGGAAAATCTACTATAAGTGGCCATTTTCCATTGCTATGTTAGTTCACCAGAGGGTAAAATCCATGAAAACTGGTGGAAAAACATCGTTCATCTATGAAAAGGATGATGAAGAATGGTGAAGCATGTTATTTTATGCATGGTGAAGAATTGGTGGTCAAATGATGAAAAATGAGGAATGATGGAACAAGGAGAAATAGGGATTTCACCAATGAACAATCACATTGCTTGTTTGAAGCAGTTCCGGTTGCCAAGAAGAGAAAAGGGAATTATATACCATTTTTTCATTTTTTGGGAAATTGATCTGGACATTCTGGACTGATTGGAAATGAGATTGAGTATCTGAAAGTACAAATCCATACTGAGTATTGATATTTCAGATATATATCTGATATTGATGTACCGATGATATATGTATGATATTGAGTATCCATGTTGTGCTTTGGTACATTGGCTGGCCACGTCTTTATAAGTCCGACGAGGCCACGGGCTGAAACGTGACATGACTGGGGTCTCCTCCTTTGGATGGATTGCGAGTTGGGTCAACTGTTTAGAGTGGCGCTTGTCATGTTTCATTGTTCAATGTTTTACCCTCTGGTAATTTGTTACATGGCTATTGAAAATGGCCATAGAAATAGTGAGTTTTACCATGAAACATGGTGATTTTCCATAGTTATGTAAACGTTTACCAGAGGGTAAAACATTACCCATTTTAAAATGGCCTTATATAACCGGGCTTAATCATTCAATCAAAGCGTTTTTGTTCCATGAATATTTTCCAAAGCTGGCTTGAACGTCTCCAGGATGATGCGACGAATCTGATGTCGGTGACTTGCAACAACCTGGGATGCTACTACAAGAAGGCGCCGGAGGACCTGATGGGGTGACCCTGAAGAAAAATGACCTGGGTGTGTCTGAAAATGTTGTGTACCCCTAAACCCAATGGTTTTGCTGATCATGATCCCTATTAAATGGCTATTTCATTGGGAATATACCCTATTTTCAGACAAACCCAAATGACCTGGACATTTGGAGATACCCGGCCTGGTTATGGAAAAACAGTTTGCGAACTTGAAAATGACCCAGTTGAATTTTAGTGGATTTTCCCAGCTAGAAAACGGTGGATCTTTCCATAGTTATGTCAGTTTACCAGAGGGTATCTATGTTGAATAATTTTCGAATGGTTACCCTTGGGTCCCTTGGGTGTAAACTAGTTGACTTTGATAGGAAAATTATGTTTGGAAATGATCTATAAATGGGCCATTTTGCATATGTTACTTTGCGGGAGGGTAAGAGAAAACTCTTCAGCCAGGTCTCATTCTCACTGTCAGTACTGTCTGGTGTCCAGCGAAACAAGATGGATACGGATGAAGTCAGTGCCCATTCGAGAACACCTTGAAAACTTTGATGTGGAAAAAAAGAGGTTTATGGCTGGGAAGATCAACTATAAATATGGTAGATTTTCAGTTGTCAAGTCACGAAAGCTAGCTGTGCTAGCTGAAGTTGCTCTTGCTTTAGCAAGGAATAGGCAGGCACCAGGACCATTGGAAACCCTGAAACTTTCCAATTAGACCCCCCCCCCTGGCAGGCCCAGGTTCGATCCCCCCCCGTCCCCCCCCGAGGAGGATCTCTCTCATCCCTCTCATCCTCATCTCCTCCTCATCATCTCCTCCTCGTCCTCGTCCTCGTCCTCGTCCTCGTCCTCATCCTCCTCGTCCTCATCCTCATCCTCATCCTCATCATCCTCATCATCCTCATCATCCTCATCATCCTCATCCTCCTCATCCTCCTCATCATTATCATTATCATCATCATCATCATCATCATCATCATCACCATCACCATAATCATCACCATCACCATCACCATCACCATCACCATCACCATCACCACCACCATCACCACCACCACCACCAACAACAACAACAGCATCATCATCATCATCATCATCAGCATCATCATCATCATCATCATCATCATCCTCATCCTCATCCTTATCCTCATTCTCTTCGTCCTCCTCATCGTTGATAAGCATCCTGATCCCCTGGTCCCGCTGGGCCATTGGTTTCCTGCAGGTATAGGGTCGTCCTCTTCAGTATTTCATCTTCAGGACGTCATGTTCAGTAAACCAACCAACAACTCTATAAAATCATCATCGGAAACTTGCCGGCTTCCAAATGATCATAGTTATCTTCCTCCTCCTCCTCGTCGTCATCATCAGCATCATCATCGTCATCATCATCATCATCATCAACGACATCCTCATCATCATCATCATCATCATCGTCATAACCCCCATGATTCGCAGCATCCACATCATCACCATCCTCATCATCATCCTTATCATCATCCTTATCATCATCATACATATGTTGCATTGTCTCGAATATCTTTATGCAGATTCGGGCTTCCATTTGGGGGGCGTTTTTTTTTTCCTTCGTTTCTTTTGTTTACAACACTTGGCGAGAGACGATTGCTGCATTGGGGGGTTTTCGCTTGCTGGACTCAATAGATTTTGCAACCCTACAGCAGCCCTGCTCATAATAATATATAAGAATCACCATCCTCACGCTCACCTTCATTCTCATCTTCAGCATCCTCATCATCCTCATCATCCCCATCATCCTCATCATCCTCATCATCCTCATCATTCTCTTCGTCCTCATCATCGTCGTCATCAACTCATTCCTGTTACCATCACTTTCGTCATCATCAGTTTTCTTCATCGTTCTGGTCAGCAACCTCATCAACATCAAAAGATTGGCACTGTTTGTGACTTGCAGCAACTCCAAAAACCGCGTGAGACCGTTGCCGCATTCCGACTTCACCTTGCTAATCCCCCTTTACGATTACCACCCTACCCCAGCCCTGCTAGCTTTCGTACCTCCCCCTGGCCTCAAGTTTGATTACCAGAGGGTATATTGGAAAATATATGGTTCTAGCACATGCCAATTCATTAAAAACAAGTGACTGAACAAAATCAAAGACTCGAAACGAGTCAAGAACAGTACTGTGATAAACCTAAAACCATAGACCATCCCCCAGTTTGAAGTTTGTTGTTGGGTTTACCACATCAAAGACCAGAACTTTTGTTGTGACCTCGCAAGTTTGACCCCTGGTCCAAGATGATAAATACTTACCCTCTGGTGGGTGTTACTTTTTGGCGTAAAGCCCGGCATTTTCCGTGGTATTCTTTTTTAAATGTACATTTGTAAGGGATTTCCCAGCTAACCATGTTTGATTATTGGAGGTAAGTCGACAAGAGTTTGAGAACTAAGTTATTCCCCCAATAGCTGAGAGATATTGATGCAATCACTCCCCCCATTATTGGAGATATTGATGTAATCACTCCCCCCATTATTGGAGATATTGATGTAATCACTCCCCCCATTATTGGAGATATTGATGTAATCACTCCCCCCCAGAAAAATCAGGAAACTCGATTTAGTATTGAATCTGTTCAATTGGGGCCCTGGGGGCCGTGGCAGAGTTATCAGATCATTGGGGTGGGGTGATGCGATTTCTACATCTGAATCAGGTCGGAAAGTTGCATGCTGCACTCAGCTACCTGCGAAAGGCCCTGAAGATCGAGGCCCAGGGACTTCGGCGATATGATCCATGAATTCATAGGCCAGTTTATCATAGAATTGGATGATGGGAAAATTTACAGGAAAACCCGGAAAACCCTATATTTGATGGTAAAAACCATGGTTTCCTGTAGATTTTCCCTTAAACCAATCCAATGAGTTTCGTTTCATTATTCAAACATATTTAAACCATTAATCTAAGTGGGGGTTTTCATCTTCGGGTTACGTTAGTTGCTTACCCACTTTCCAGGGTTGGAACCAGAGGTGACGTTAGAGAACATCATTTCTGATAATACCCTAGAGTAATATAGCATAACTATTGCACATGACCCATTTATCGATGATTTATGATTTACCTATTTAAAATGGTGATTTTCCATATCAGTTTACTGGACAGTTATTATCTTCGGAACCCTGATTGCACTGTGATACAATTCCGACATGACAACAGGTGTTGCCCTTTCTCAAGGGTTGCTGCGGCATCCTAAATAACACTAAATAGTATAGCTGGCATGCATGACAATTATCCCATGGGAATACCATTTTTGTATGGTTCATTCCCATTAGGGGCATGGAAAAGCTTGTCATTTCCACTCGTTCGTTAACGACCAAAGGTGTCTCTGCAAACCGATGACGTCACAGTGGCTGGGACGCATCTGAACGTGTGCGCGATCCTTTCCAAGCTGGACAAGCACGATAAGGCGGCCATGTCTGGACAAAGGATGGGGGGAGTTTTCATGGCTTGACCAGATTTTGGGAACAATTGTTCAAATTCATGGGATTTTCGGGGATTGTCTTTTTCAAATTTGCTTCACAATTCACAGATTCAAGTTTTCATTTTTTTTCCGGGATGTCCCAAGTCATGTTTTTTTTTTTTAATGGCCAATAAAGACTGGGGAAAAATAAGAAAACGATCCAAATCCCTCGGTCAATGGTGATGTTCATCACCACAATTTTGGACTTGGCATTGACCCAGCGGTGCCCATCACAATGCCACCGCCACCTAAGCGGTGTTTTTAAACGTACCGTATATGCATACTGAAACAGTCAACTGTGTACATATATTTTAATTGCATGTAGACTAAATCGATTCTATAGATGTATCTCATGCCAGTTCATCGGTATTTCGTCGTTTCCACAGTTTCTACATCAGAATTCGTTTATCCATTCGGATCCCATAAAACTCACCATAGGGTGACCTCAGTTGGTTGGGTGTGCAAGTTGGTTTATCTTATCTCCAGTTCCATGCATAGCCACCATAAACCGAAGAGTTCCTGGAATAAAAAGTAGATCCCAACTTAGCTGACAGCATAGACTGGGGCACCACTTTGCGAGTTGTAACCAGGCTGACACCGTAGTATATTTTTCATGTTGGTTTTTATATATTGGAGTATCACCAAATCCCCTACAAACTACTTTTTTCGGATCATCCCACTTAGTAGAAACTGTAACCACTGGTGATTCCGGTGATCGCGTATCGTATCCGGGTTCACTCTTTCATTCCTGGGATGTTTTTCCTGTCATGGTGTATTCATCACCTGTGAAAAAAACTCCATGAAGGATGACGCTTATGTTTGCGTTGATGTTTGCGAAAAAGTCCTTATTTAGAATCCAATGATTTATCTCATTCCAAATAAATATAGCCTAACTTAATTCCATTTAGACTCCCATTGCAAGACCTAATATATAAAATCCCATCAACCTTGAGTTCCAATTAGGATTATATTCCAATCAGGATTATATTTTCATGATGAATTATTCCAATTAATCCCCCCAAAAAACACGGATTCTCGGTTGACCCATATTATATATCCAATTATGATTATTCCAATGAATCTCCAAAATAATCCCTCCCAAAAACAATAATTATGATGATTCCAATTAATCCCCCTCAAAAACTATGAATCAACTCATGTAATCCGAAGATTGGTTGGAGATTACTCATCATATCCTATCATCAATTCTCCTTAAATACTCCCCAATGGTTCCAAAAAAAATCCCCAATGAGTTCCCATTCCCATGACTTGGAGAATTAATCCTACCAAACAAAATCCCCAATGATGATTGGAATTGATGATTTCCAAATCATTGGGAATGTCAATTCCAATTAATCCAAGTATGATGATTCCAATTAATAGTGGAAAATCATAGGAAACCATATATGAAACTCAACAAAATCCGCTAGGAAACCTGTTCGCAAAACCAGACATCGGATTCTTCCAAGCAAAATCCCCCATTTTTTTCCAATGATTTCTCCAATTCCCACGGAATTCCCATGGAATTCCCATGGTTTTCTTCCAAAATTCCTCAGGCCCTGCAGCACGCTCTCTGCGCCTTGGAACTCATCAAAAACCGTGTGGATTCAACGGAGTTTTCTCCCACCCAGGCGCTCCGATTTTTTTGGTTGTTTTGGATGGGATGGTGCCAGCAATTTTCATGGGGTTTTATGATATTTTACTGGGTTTTATATGGGTTTTATTTGGGTTTTATATGGGTTTTATATGGGTTATATGTCATGTTACTGGGTTCATGTTCATGTTTTTTTTTTGGGACTTCGTGGTTAATATTGAATGGTGTTTTTAATGTTTTTTTTTTCATGGGACTGATAGGATGAGTTCAGCATGACATGATGGGGACTTCACCATCGAACTTTGATGGGGCCCTTGATGGGTGGATGATGATCTGCCATATTTTCAACATTTTCAACCCACATGGGACAATCCTGGCGATGGGGGTAGCTTTATGGAAACAATATGATATGACCAATGGTTTATCTCATTACAATAGTTTATCTAATTTTAAAAATGGGAAACAGATGAAAAACATGGATTAATGACCTCCGACTAGCAATAGTTTTAGAGGTGGCCATGTGTCGTCATCGAAATCCCAAAGGGTTGGTTTTTTGGCCATGTGTCGTCAGGATCATGTTGGTTGGATACCAAAGAAATGGCTTGGAGAATCTTTGTATCAACCCCAGATGCTCCATGGTGCTGGAATATTTACCTACATTTGGGCCATTTTTGTGGTAAATATAGGTAAATATTCCGTACATGGAGCATTTGGGAACCATCCATTTTTTTGCATTGACTCGTAGAGACGGAGCCATTAAAAGGGAACCGCTATCCCCAGATCGGTTGTATCCTAGCTTTTGATCCATAGCCACATAGCTGGGGATTCCCAGTTCATGGCTTTGTTCTAAGCAATAAACCAGGTAGGATAATCTATCTTGATCCCTTATAATTTAACATAATTTGACATAGATTAACTAATGAATGATGATGTCAGGCTTCTTTTTCCAGATGCCGATGTTGAAGTGGGAATTCTTGGGTTCGTCCCTGGCGCCCAAGCGGTGCCTCTGCCTGGACAGGACGAGTATTCGGTCCTTGCCATTGCCTATCACAACGTGGCCGTGGAAAGGGACTATTTGCAACAGCTGCAGGAGGTGCGAGACACGGATTCTCTTAGCAATGAGCCCATATGAGCCTATTCCGCCTATTCCTATTAAGTCATCAACTAATATCAGCTATAATTATATAATCAACTGATTAAGTACTCACCTACTAAGTTGTAGCCTTAATCAAGTTTCGGTGTTTCGAACTGGTTAGCAGGTCGGATGGCTCTGTTTCCCCCTACTTCGCAGGCTGCAGCAGCCTACCAACAGGGCCATGAAGTGGCAAAGAAATGCCTGGGTGATCAGCATCCGCTCACGCTGGGGGCCCAAGGGGCCCAAGGCTCGATTCTGGGCACTGTGTTCTTTTCGTTAAATCGTTAGATCACTATTGTTGGTAGCAAAACCACTGGGAAGTGGGTTTTGTCTGAAAATAGGATGGTTAATCATCATTTTCCACATTAAATGGCTACAATTGGGGGCTAAATGCTCCATTTTCAGACACGGACAGAGACAGCTGAGGCAGACTTTGGCCAAGAACGCCAATGCGGTGCGGGAACACAGGGCACCAACTGGACAACGGAATTTTCATCAGATACTTCGATGATTTTCCCATGTAAATGACCATTTATAGATATTTAGTGACCGGGGATTTCCCATTGGCCAGGTTTGATTAACAGAGAGTATGAAAAATTGGTGCAAAATGCCAACATTCCTTCAGGTGTCTTTTTTGGGAGTGAAGAGTTCAATGATTGGGGTGTCGGGACCATTGAACTACACTGAACTTAGATCTTTTGCGATGATCTACTTCACGCAGAGTTGAAGCAGCTCATAGTGGCGGCCAGTTTCAAATTTGCTCGGATTCATGAGTCGGATTCGGATGATGAGTCCTTACATTCGCTCATCGGTTGTTCAGATGGGTGAAAGCTACACTCATTGTTGAACGATTGGTAGATGAAGATCTCAGGCACTGCAAAAGTCGCAGGCTAAAGCAGCTCAGGCTCGGGATGTCTGTGAAGAGTAGCTACTAAGCCAATATTTACGGTGCAGTTGGGGTCAGAAATGGCTATCACTAGGCCATGGTAGTTCCCAATAATTCTGGTGGGATACAACTAACCACTTTTGCCACAGATTCACTGGAACTGCATGGATTCAACCACCAGATTTTTGGTGATTTTCTGGAGGTTTTAATCATCCCACCACTGATTCCATGGCATTCCCCTTTTTTAATGGGTATATTATAGGTATATTATGTATATAACCTCTATGGAAATGGTATGGAAATGGGGGATGATCGGATGAGCATCAGCTTTGATCAGAAAAAAAGAGGGTGCCTTTTTGGGATGTGGGAAAGCGACCTGTGCGTTACAGAAACAAGCTCTTGACACCTCAGTCCTCCGACATATCTTTTCACTTCTCATCTCTTCTCATCTCATTTGATCTCATCTCATGTCGACTCATCTAATCTCATCTAATCTCATCTCATCTCATGTCAGCTCTTCTCAGTTGACCTCAACTGTTCTCATCTCTTCTCATGCCATCTGAGCTTTTCTCATCTCTTCTCTGCTCATCTGAACTCTTTTCTTTTTAGCTCTTCTCAGCTTCCCACTCTTCGCAGCTCCTCTCAACTCAGCTGTTCTCAGCTCTTCACCGATCTTATCATGTCAGGTTGTCTCAACTTATCTCATCTCAGCTTATCCAGCTCGTCTCAGTTCTTCTCATTTTTTCTCAGCTCTTCTCGGCTCTTCTCAGCTCATCTCGTCTCTGGCCCAAAACCTGCGCCAAAACCACGATTTTGAAGCCATTTTAAAAGACATTTTTAAAGGAAAATGAAAGGCGCCAAAAACGAGAAAAAAACAACAAAAAACTCATTGCCACAACCTTTGCGCAAGTTCGCGCGAGACTTCCCTGAAAACCAGCAAGTGAAAACGATGCTTTCGTGCGAGACTTCCCTCAAAAACTGAAAGTTAAAGTTGTGTAAACGAAAATGTAGTGCGAGACTTTCTTGAAAATCTGGAAGTTGAAGTTGTGTATTTACGAAGCTTTCGTGCGAGACATCCTTCAAGAACTGTTTCAGTTGAAGTTGTGTATTTACGGTCCGCTTTCGTGCGAGACTTCCCGACATACAGAATTTCCAGTTTCGCAGTGTTCAAAACCCCAGTTGGTTACGGGGTTATACCATCCACTGTAGTGGATGGAAATCCGTTAACCAGCCAGCATTGATGTATCAATTAGATTTCTCTATTTTTTTTCGCCAGTAAAATCAGTATTTCCATTAAAATTGGAATGTCCAAGAGTCCAAAATTAGTATTACTTCAAAAATGTCCCCCCAAAAAATAAAACTAGTATTTCCATTGAAATTTCCATTAAAAGAATGGGAATTTCCCAATTTTTCCGCCGTTTTTCTTCCCCGAAATGAAGCGAAGGCCGAAGCAGAGAGGAATCGAAGCCCACCGGCGCCAAGAGAGGCAGATTTGGGGAGATTCGGTGTAGTGTTTTAAACAAAAAAGGGTGAGGTAACCATGAAGGATAGGTTTTACCATGGAAAAATGGTGGGTTAACGTCTGGAAAATGCTGATTTCATGAAGAAAGAAGGTGAATTTACCATGAGACATGGTGAATTAATCAAAACAAAGATGCAATTTTACTGAAACGATGATTTAAGAAACAAAAATAGAGAGTTAACATTATTTTAGCATTAAACTAGTTTTTTTTCCGAGTGCAGTTAAAAAATGGCTTCTCACAGGATGGGATTTTTAGGGGTACCCTATTGTTGGACAAAGTATATGTGGTTAGACTGACTGGTTTGATATTTAGTCCTACCCATGATAAACGACCAATGACTAATGACTATATAATGACTAATGAGGAAACCCTAGAAGTTTTTTTTTCACAACGGCCTTCAATAAAGTTTGGGGGGTTCTTCATGGATTAGCACATACACGGCAATCCGAAACCAGAAGTCGATCATTCACCGATTGAAAATGGTGTTCTGTTCCCCAGTCCTGTTACCTGACCCAACAGACAAGTGGTACCCTCCCGTAAACTGTATATAACATATGTGTGGTTTACAGCCAATGAATGGCAAAAGCATGTAGATCAGTTTCCGGCCAAACGGTTCCCCCCATGGGTGAAAACCACATGGGTATGGGTCAAAATTGAGCACCCCAATTATTGGATGGTTACCCTCTGGTAAATTAACTTGTTGACCCTGAAAATAGCCTAGTTTTAATGGAAACTAATCTTCCAACCCCTATCTGCCAGGGTCTATGTTAATTTACCAGAGGGTAATACTAAAATGGGCAAAGCTATCTGTGGTCCCGCAGGTTTTTTGGAGCAGTGTCTCCCAGGGAATGAAACAAGTTTTGGGCGGCTCGGCTCAGGCGCGGCCACGGAAGAATTCCGCACCACAGGTGGCTACGCTGCCTGAGATCAGCAGAAAGGACAGCGATTTTTGTCACCTGGGATGCACTTTGCTGAGCCTTTTCTTGCTGGGAAATCATGAGATTTTGTCGTGGAAACCAATCATTGGGAAATCATCCAATTTGTGGGGGAAATCATCCGATGATCTATTGGGGCGCAACAATGGTGGGCCCTGCGTCCAGAAATAGCTGAGATTATACCTTTGAATTGGTAGATCAACCAAGCTAGTTGTGGGTAAGTTGTACTATGTTGTACTGATTATAATCTCATTTACCTTCCAAAATCACACCAAATGACCCTGAAGTTTTTCGACCAATGTCTGGTGGTTAAAAAATCATCAACCCCAGCCAGGAGCCGTCTCAAGATGGCGAGGAGGAGTCATCATTGGGGAAATCCCGAAACGATCCATGGAGGGATCCATAAAATCGAGAAAAATGGTGGATCCTCCAGCCAATGATTTTTCGCAGCAAATTCCAATAGCTTTGAGAGTCCCAAACTGCAAGATATGCACCATCTCAAAAAACCTGTGGGGATCGACTTTCTGCGCGAAAGCCCTGGTTCCGAAACCCAGCTACTGATAGGTCAATGAGTTTATTCAGCTGAGTCGTTCATGATCATCCGGACTGGTTGCGTTTTTGAAAGTTAGTTTTCTGTTTGAACTTTGTTTGATATCCACTTTTCAGTGGCAAACATCCCACGTGTGTAAAATCGCACATCAAAAATCCTGCTTGAAACTGCAGTTCAGTCGGTCAAATATCCCTTCGAATAGCAGTATAGCAGAACCCACGGCGTAGAAGAAATCGGAGCCACTTTGAGGGTTGATCAATGGGGGCATCCCCGGTCACCATAGGTTTCATTACTAAGTAATGGTCATCCATGACTGGATGATGACTGGGGTACATTACTTAGGAAACCTCCGATTTTATCACCATATTTCCAATTCTTTGAACTATACCCAAAGCCATATATTTGGATATATTTGGTGTTTTTTTTTTCCTATCCTTATATCATTCCCATATAATTTTTCAGATTGATGGGTCAACATATCATTTTCATTCATTTTCCATGGAAACTATCCCCATCTATCGTTTCTACCAAAATCCACATTCATAGGGATTTATAATAACCATTATAAGGATCCTTATTATGGATGGGATGACCATCAACCATATAGTGAGTATTGACCATGGCTCATATCATTCCCATACAACATTTGGGCGTTTATCGTTCGGCTGAGGAGGTCAGCCGCGACCAGAGCTTTGGAAGTTGGAATGCACGGACTGGAGGAGCTTCCGTAACGGGATGGTTTTGTGACCCAAATTCCTGGCATTGTCACGGCATTGTCCCATTGAAGTGTGGTAAAAAAGAGGCCATTGTTACGAAAACCAGTTACTATATAAGTGGAATAAAAAAAAATATTTCATTTCCAAGTGAAACTTGGAAGATCATTCGGAGCAAAGCTGTTCCCAGAAATGATCAGAACTGGTTTAAGACACTTGTCGGAATTGGTATTTTCTGGACACATCCGGGGTTTCGTACCATTTTTCTGCCATAAAGCAATGTAAGGTGTGGCTCCAATTTCGGTTAATATCCCCTAAATATGGGATTAGCTGACAGTTTTGAATGGAAAGGAAATGGGTCTTAATATATCCAATCCTAATTACTTCAAGTGATCCCCACCAACTGACATCATTTCTGACGTAGATATTTTAACATTTTTTCTGACATCCTATCAGACCTATATTCTGGCATTCTGTCTGATATTTTTTCTGGCACTCTTTCTGACATATATTGTGTCATGTTTTCTGGCATTCTATCCGACAGTTCATCTGGCATAGTGTTTGAGTCCGGCGGGGCCCAGAGATCTGACGAGCTTGCGATACAGTAGGAGAGGGAAGGAGGAGAAGAGAGGAGGAAGAAAGGAAGGCTATTATCATTCATCAATCCATTGTCTATATTATATATATATTGTTATATATACACACACACTTTTAAAGATATTATGTCTACTTCATATAGTTGCATATGCTTCGTCAGGCGATTTGGGTGGCTTCCTTCCGCCACTTCAGCCGCGGCCAGCTGAGTTCTTGCACTGCCGGGTTGGCGGGTGAAACTTGGGTGAAACCCTGGATTTCTTGGGAAATTCCTTGGGAAATTCCTTGGGAAATTTCTTGGGAAATTTCTTGGGAAATTTCTTGGGAAAATGGTGATTTTTCAGCAAGGAAAATTGTGATCTAATGAAATTGATAGCGTATTTTTTGTTTTTTTTTGTTTAGGGGACAAGCGATTGATATTGTGGAACATCTGAAAAAACGGGCGATTCATATTCACTTCTCAATGGACTGGTTGAAGGGAACATCAACACCAGAAACCTCTAAATGATTGGTGGTATACAGACCCAGATTTTCCCTTCAAGCAAGCCATTGAACTTGGGATTTGAGATCAGATTCTTTTAGAACATATGGGTATGGGTCAATACCTATAGATACATTACTATAGTGGGATGAACATCCATTTACCAGCTATTTTGGGGTTCACTAGGTACCAGGGTTTTGACCCATCCCCATATCTTTTCAAAACATCTTTTTCTAGCCATTAAAACCATCTTTTCTAAACATCACTTTGAAGTCAAAAAAATGGCTTGGCGTGCTGAGGCAACCCTCCAGTAGTCCTTCGATGTCTCAGGAGCCATGGGATCCATGGGTGGTTTTCACTTCTATTGGAAACCACTGAGATAGAAGATCATCTATACTGTGTATATACATATATACTGTGTATATACATATATACACAGTATATATATATGTTTTCTCCAGACCTGGGAGGGCATGCATGAATGGTGGTCCACCCTGAGCTTTTGGCTTCAGTGTGGGGGGAAGGCTTCCCTGGACCTCTCGTGAGGTTAGGGTGGGCCAGACCCTCTTACGTGCGTGGCGGGTCAGTGGAGGCTCCCAGGTCTCTCCGGAGATAGGGGGTCCTCCCTGACCTGCAGGGTTTGGAGCCAGGGGTGGCCAGGCCTTCTCTTGAAGGCAGGCCAACCGTGGTTGCTAAACGGTACTTGCGATCAGGAGGAGGAAAGAGACCTGGGAGGGGGATTTGAATCCCTATCCCTTGGGGCTTGAGCCTCAAGGTCCTGGGTAAGGATAAAGGAGATGGAGGCGGCAAAACAGAGCCTTTTGGCAAAAGGAGGGACCCTTGGGGATTGGACAGGCCTCATCACTAATGGCCTGCAGCCTGAAGACCTGGCTTGGGTTGATGCTGCAACGCATCCTGGAAATGTCTTGGACTATGCCCGACGCGTGATGAACCGTGACGGCATCATGGAGTACGAGTGCTATGACGCCAGAGGGCGAGCACAGGGCAAAGCCATTATAAGGCTGCTAGACTGGGATGACTATGCGTTGGGGACACTTAGAGGTGTCCACCTGAGAGCGTCCGATCCCTACTATGACTGGTATGCCCAACATGAACTGCAGGAGGGCAAAGGGATATATCACCTGTGCGGGTCAAAGAGGTCCCAGTGCACGGCTCGCTTGGGCAGAGGCGACAGGCGGGAGATGGTGCACTTGGAGCGGTGGCGCATGACGAACCCCATGGTCATGTTGGAGCACGACTACTCCAAGGAAGTGGCACTCATGGCGGTGAATAACTGGGTGTCCAATTTTGCCGCAAAGGTGCCGGAGCCGCCAAACCCTCCGGGGCCCCCTGGTGGGGCTAGGGGGGCTGATCCAACGGGTTTGGACAAGGCACTTGCCGAAGCTGGTGAAGCTGAGGAGGAGGATCAGGTGGAGAAAAGAAAGAAGAATGAAGGAGGCCGGCCTGAGGTTCATCCAAAGGGCTTAGTAGGGTTGATGCTGGAGAGAAAGGCCGCAGAGAGGAGAGCTGCTCTGGCTGACAAGGAACGGCAGGATCAGAGAAGGCGGCCTGACAGAGGGCGAAGCCGGAGCAGAGGACGCCGGCGAAGGAGGCGTAAGCGGTCTTCAAGCCCTGGTGAAAAGGGGCATGAAAGATCTGACTCATCAGGGTCGTCACGAAGTTTTCGAGAGCCCTCTACCCGGGGGGAGGTCGAGATGTGGCGGCAAAGCAGGAAAAACCCCGGGGCCCTTCTGAAGAAAGGGATGGAGGAAATGGCCCGCTATTTAGCCGAGAGGGCACCCGGCGAAGAAGGCGGCACCGACACGTGGATGAGCCATCGAATGATGGCCTACGTCAGTCAAGTGGTGCTCACCCAGCATCCTCCAGGGACCATCGGGGTCCGCAATCACAGGGAGCTGCTGACCTTAGGTCGAGCCATCGACATGCTCATTCAGGGGCAGCTGGGGGAGCTGGGCGACCTTCTCATGCAGAGATTGAAGGCGGTGGAAACCTCGCTGGTGGATCAAGGATGGCACTCGGCAAAACATCAAGAGCTGATCCCACCCCATGCAGCCAGCCTGACAACAGAAGCCGAGAGGCGTCGGACGGCTCGGATGGAGATCTCAGCAAACAAGCTGAAAGAGATGACGCTGAAGGGGAGAAAGGGCGACAAATAGGGACTCGGCGGCGGTGCCCGGCAGGTGGAGGGCACCGTGACGCCACCCAGGTCAAGTCGGCCAGCGGCCCTGAGGGAGAGCGACCATCGCCGGGTGGTTTTCAACGAGAAGCCACTGATGATCGGAGAGAAGAATGCGGCCGAGAAGGAGAGCCCCAAGAGCGAGGGGAAGGCGAAAGGAAAAGGCAAGTGGAGGACGAGGCCGTTCAAGAAGGGCGGAAAGGGAAAGAAGGGGGGAGGAAAAGGAGGAGGAAAGGACTCGAGACCCAAGGAAGGGGAGAAGAGGAGCGAGAGGAGCCCAACCCCCCCGAAGTCTTGACTGATAAAGAGAGCTTCGAGACTGTGAACCCCGAGAAGGAGGCCGAGTCGAGTCTGGAGATGTTCAAACGATGGTTGGAGACTGAGGAGACTGGAGGACTGAGTGTGGCCCAGACAGGGGCGCTGCTGGCCCTCAGCGTATGGCGCAGTGGTACGCCGTTAGGCAGCTACTTGCATCAGGTTTTGCAGCCCGGGCCAGACGACGGTGATTCAGGAAGGAGACAAAGGGGGATTCTTCCTTTACCGCTTTTACCTGATGCAAGAGCGGAGATGGAGAAGCTTTTCAATGAGGGCGAGTTTCGGCGACTTGCTGGAAGCTGGGGGGCCAAGAAGCAGAACAAAGAGAAAGCGGCAAAGCAGATCCGTCGGAGTGGTATGCTATTGTGGCATGGGCTGGTTGTGACCGGCATCAATGCCCTTTGGACCGGAGGTGGCAATTCTGGAAAAGTTCATCGAGGAGGACCTTCAAAGGCTCAGCAGATGGCCCTGGATAGGATATGGGATGTGGTGCGCGATTTCGTTGATGACCGGTCGGAAACCCAAGAAAAAGTACCCAGGTCACCTACCCTGGGTGAGTGGGGAAAGAAGTTGGGTGACGTCCGGATCTCATATCAGGGTGAGATTGTTGAGAAAGCCCACCAGTTGACCCTGGCGCAGATCTTGCCTGGGCTTCCTCCTCCAGGCTTCGGGGGTAGTGTCCCCTTGGTGGAGCTCTGCGATGGGGAGTTGAGAGAAAAGCTTATGAACCCTGAGGGCAATGTGCTGAAGGAGGAGGAGATGCCGGAAGACCTGCCGAAACCCAAGGTGCACGCCAGCCCAGAGCAGTGGCAACTGATAGCCAAGGAACTTTATACCCGTGGATTGGTGGAGCCAGTTGAAAGTCCTTTGGAAATCAAAGGCAAGCCCATCTGCAACGGCGCATTCGGCGTGGTCAAGCCAGGCAAATTCCTAGAGGACGAGCGCCCGATCCTCCGACTCATAATGGATTTCAGAGCGGTCAACGCTGCCACTCGGATCCTTGAAGGAGACGTTCGGAAGTTGACCGGTGCCCCGGCACTGCAACATATCGTTCTCCCGAACAGCAGCGTACTAAGGGTCTCGGCAGAAGACCTTGTAGCTGCTTTTTATTTGTTCGCATTGCCCCCAGGATGGTCACGGATGATGTGCTTCGGTGAGAAGGTGCCATGGACGTCACTGGGCATTAGCCGGCCGGGTTCAGTATACCTGGGGGCTAGGGTATTGCCCATGGGCTGGGCCTCGGCGGTGGGTGTTCTTCAGCATGCCCACCGACGATTGGCCCTCAGATCACCTTTGTCAGGGGGAGCCGGCCTCCTGGGGGCGTGTGAGATCAGGCGGGACGCGGAATTCCCAGACCTGGAACTGGAGCGATCGATGTGGTCGCTTTACTTGGATGATACGACGCTGGTTGAGATCCTGGACAAACGCGTCGCCAAGGAGCTGGAAGGAAAACCCTCGGCTGAGCAGGGGCGCCTGAGAAGGGCTTACCAGCACTGGGGAATTCCAGTGTCAAAGGAAAAGGCACTGGTAAGGAATGAAGCGGCCGAAAAACTTGGGGCCGTGGTTGATGGAGAAAAAGGGGTCTTGAAAGGATCCACGAAACGTGCGCTGGAGAACCTCTCGTTGGGGTTTTGGCTGTTGCGCCAGGAACGAGTACCAAGAAAAGCCCTTCAGGTCTTTCTGAGAAAGGAGGTCCACACAATGCAGTTCAGACGTCCCCTCTTTGGGGTATTTGACTACCTCTGGAAGGATGTGGCCCAGGGTTCCCCCATGGTGGAACTAGGGCTGAAATCAGTGGAAGAGGTATTGCTCAGTGGACTTCTGCAACCGCTGAGAAGGACGGATCTGAGGGCAAGGCTGCATGAACTGGTGACAGCCTCGGACGCCAGCGAAACCGGTGGCGGAATGGTGTATGGGCACAAATTGTCCCAGCAAGGATTGAAGGAGGTACTGGCCATTAAAGAGGGCTGGGAGGAGCCTCCAGAAGAAGAGGTGAATGTGGATGGGCCTCAAGTGGTCCTGGCAATTGATTTCTTCGCTGGGATAGGGGGACTTTCCCATGCCCTTCAGTTGGCTGATGTGAAAGTGGCCCACCTTTTGGTGGTGGAAAATGACCCGGATTGCAGGCGGCTAAACGCTGTACGGTGGCCAGGGTGCGATCTGATGAGCGACATCCAGAAGGTCACCAAGAAGGAGCTGGAGAAGGCTATTAGAGGAGTGCCTGGGTTGACAGGCGTGATTGCAGGGGGCGGGTCCCCATGCCAAGGCTTGTCGCAGCTCTCGGCCAACAGGAAACACCTCGAAGATCCCAGGTCGAAGCTGTTTTACCGCCTGTGTGAGATCTTTGGGTGGATTGCTGATATATGTGGTGAGATGGAAGTTTGGAACCTGAACTTCCTTGAGAATGTGGTTGGTGATGAAGCTGATGTGGAGGAAATGACAGAGGAGCTGGGTGCGCCTCCACTTCGAGTTTGCTCGAGCGGGTTGTCTCGGGTTCGAAGGCCCCGGTTGTACTGGAGCAACGCTGACCTGGAGGACCATTCGAGTTATACGAGGGCGCACTATGCACTCTGGGACGAGCTTTGCTTTGAGGAGGAGCTGGAGCCCATGGAATTCTTCTGTGATGAGGGATGGCTGTGGGCCGCTGGAAACCAGGATGAAGAAAAGAGGCTGCCTACATTTACGAGGGCCATTCCTCGGAGCAGGCCCCCGGTGTGCCCGGCGGGAATTGATGGATGCGACGAGGCCACCTTGAAAAGGTGGAAGGAGGACAAGATGAAGTACCCTCCCTACACTTACAAAGAGGACTTCTTGTTTGAATCAAAGAAGGACTCAAACAAGAAGCGGGTGGCCTCAGCGTCTGAAAGAGAAAGGCTGATGGGTTACCCGACCGGGTACACGCTCGGGCTTTTCAAGAAAGAGCCTGGTTCCGTTTTTGAGATGGAGCAACAGGAGGTAGCACGCTGTGCTGCCCTGGGCAACAGTTTCCACGCCGTGACAGTGGCATGCCTGATTGACCTGTGGCTGTGGTCAGCTGGAGTTCGCACTGATCCAATGGGTGCAAAGGCCATTGTGGAGCGATGGCATAAGGAGATGAGCGAAAAGGCATTCAGCGACTTTGGAGGGCTGCTGCTGAAGGAGAAGCAGGCGATGAATTCGAGCCTGCAAGAACTTGAGTTGGAGGAGGAGGCGATGAGCCAAGATGGTGCGCCACGCAATACAGAGTGGTTGCGCATGTGCGGGCAAGGCCAAGCAAAGGATGGTCCAGACCCACTCAGTGTGAGGTTGATCCATCAGTACCTTCGACGATGTGAGTTTCGAGGGTCAGACATTCGCCTGGATCTAGGCGTGGTATATCGGCCAGATGCTGTCAAGAGGACGAGCATTGACCCGCGGAGGTGGCTCTGGAGAACGGCTCAAGCCTATCGCTGGAGCAAGCGAGAACATATCAACCTCCTTGAGCTCAGGGCCGTGCTGCGGACGCTTGAGTGGAGGAGCCGTAGCACGGCGTTTCACAGTTGCCGGTTCATGCACCTGTCTGACTCGCAAATCGTCCTGGCAGTGCTGACAAAGGGCCGGTCGTCGTCCCGCCGGATCAATCGATTGCTGAGAAAAGTAGCCTCTCTCTGCCTCTGCCTGAACTTGTACTCCCTTTGGGCGTGGATCAGTAGCCGGTTAAGCCCGGCTGATGGGCCATCAAGAAAATATGTCTAAAGTGATCCCCCATCGGGAAACCAAGGCAGAGAGGAAGAAAGAGAGGCAAAAGATTGGACGGCTGGGAGACCAAAAGATTTCACCTTGCACGCGAGAGCGTTACCACCACTCTCTCAAGGAAGTGGCCAAGTATGCGAATTTAAGTCCTCAGATGCTGCTGAGGCAAGACAGTCTGGATGACATTTTGTCGTCCTTTGTAGAGATGCTTTGGGAGGATGGTGAATCCCCGTTCTCAAGGTAGCTATGCTATAGCTGCCATCCAGCACTTCGCCCCTGATGCAAAAGGGAGGCTTAAGAATGCTTGGAAATTGATGGGGTTGTGGCAGAAAATTGAACAGCCAAGGCGTGCCACTCCGTTAGACCCCTCCTTGTTGCTGGCGTTTGCTGGGGTGTTTTGGAAGTGGAAATGGGAAGATCTGGCCTGTCTGACCGTGGTTGGATTCGCTGGACTCCTGCGGACGGGAGAGATGTTTGCCTTGCAAAGATCAGATGTGGTCTTGGCGCGCAAAGCAAACCAGCCTTCCATCATATTCCTCTATGACACCAAAACTGCAAAGCGCAATCTCCTGACTGCAGAGAAGGTGTTGATCTACGAGCGGTGTGCTAAAGCATGCCTCCACTTTCTCTGCAAGAATAAAAATGGCACAGAACGCCTTGTGGACACAGCGCCGGCAAAGTACCGTGCAGTGTGGAAGGAGGTCGTCGACCACTTAGGTCTGAATTCATTTCACTATTTACCATACTCTCTTAGAAGAGGAGGAGCTACGTCCGCCTACAAGGAAGGCATGACTTTTGAACAGCTTCTCATCAAAGGGAGGTGGCAGAATGTTTCAACTGCTAGGTTGTATTTGGACCAGGCTTTGCAGGAGTTGACTCGAATCCAACTCCCTTCCACCGCTGTTGCTCGAGTCCGCGCAGCCAAGCTGTGCTTTAAGGCTGCCGGGCTGGGACGCGTGGAGGGGGAGGAGTGACAAAGCCTGGTGGTTTTCTTTTCCTTCAGTCACCTTAAGCGCTTAAGGGTGGCTGTGTACAGCCTTTTGACAGGGGGCACCTTGGCCCGGGCACAAAAGTGCGCTTTGAAGGGACAAGAAGGGTGGACGTAATGTAATGCATGTTTTCTCCAGACCTGGGAGGGCATGCGTGAATGGTGGTCCACCCTGAGCTTTTGGCTTCCCCCCTTCCTTCCCCGGGCTCCTCCATCGTGACAAAGCCTGGTGGTTTTCTTTTCCTTCAGTCACCTTAAGCGCTTAAGGGTGGCTGTGTACAGCCTTTTGACAGGGGGCACCTTGGCCTGGGCACAAAAGTGCGCTTTGAAGGGACAAGAAGGGTGGACGTAATGTAATGCATATATATATATAGGCAATTATCTTCTATCTTCGTGTCTTCTTTTTATACACATTCCAAGTTTCAGGGATTACTTCGAGTCATCATCAAACATCCAATGCTCCGTGTCTCGCTCCGTGAAGCTCCGCGAGGCGTGCACTGCTACAGAGGCCTGGCGAATTGGGCAGTTTTTTTTTGGTTCGGAAAAGGATCACATCGCTGATTTTCATCAGATTTTTGGGGCTTTTCAAATTCTGACATCATTCATCGGATTTGGTTATAAATTACCTCTGGTCATTTAAGTGACAGTTTGCGAACTTGAAAATATGTCCCATGTAATTAGTTCGTTGATTTTCCCATTAAACATGGTGATTTTCCATAGTTATTTGTGACAGTTTACCAGAGGGTATGGGATTTACCATGAACAGTGAGATTTTTTGATGGGGACAATGGTGATTAATCATCAACAAGTCAGATATATTTGATGGTGGAGATCTGATTTTCCACTACCCTCTGGTAAACATTTGCATAGCTATGGAAAGATCCACCGTTTTCAATGGGTAAATCCATTATTTCTATGGGCCATTTTCAAGTTCGCAAACTGTGAATGTCATTGCCTTAAATGGCCCAGTCGAGTCATAGTTGATTTATCATGATTTATCCATTAAACATAGTGGATCTTTCCAGTTCGTTATGTGACAGTTTACCAATGTTTACCAGGCCGGGTATTGGAATTTGCTCACCCGGTTTTTTGTTAGCTGGGGGATCCACCATTGATTGATCTTTGGTTTTCGCCTATAAACCACTATTTTCCACTAAAGTCAGTAAAATATTTCTTAAAGATGCTAGTTATTTTTGTGGTTTTCATCATGGTTATATCATGATGGTTTTCTTGATGGTGATTTTAATGGTGATTATATAATGGATATCACCAACAATCACCATTATTAACCATTCTTAACCATTATTAACAATTCTTAACCATTATTAACAATTCTTAACCATTATTAACCATTCTTAACCATTATTAACCATTATTAATTATTAACCATTAGGGATCTGAAAATCGCCACAATTTTCCAGGATAAAAATTCCAGATATCTCCACCATCGGCGAGGTGGCGGCAGCTCCATCCTTCATCGAGACTATGGGGCCCGAGGTGGTCGCTCTGTTGCTGTTGCTGGTTTTTGATGACGACTTGGGAGCGGTTTGACCAAATTCTGGGAAGATCTGGGAACTTTCAAAAATCCACCATGGTAAATCATTGATAATCATTGTAAATCATTGTAAATCATTGTAAATCATCATGTTTCAATATATTTCATATGTGAAAATTGACATGAAAAAATGAGGCGCAAACACAGTTTCAGAGAGAGATCCAAGATTGTTTTTGAAGTTGACGATCCCTATTTTGAAGTTTTGCATCTCATTGCTTTGCCGATATGATGGACGGCATCTGAGGACTCCCCGGACCATGAACTCCATCAGCTTTTTCCTTGAGGATTACCTTTTGGCAATGGAACATATCTATGATCGAACATCGAACATCACCGTTTCAATATGTTTCAATAGGTAAATGATTTAAATCACCCAAAGATGTGCCATTTTCATCCATTTTTCATAGCTATGTTAGTCATTACCAGAGGGTAGACAATCTCAGTGATTTGCTGAAGCCCTCGCCAGGTGGAATCTGTTGGGTGTGAAAATTAGGCACCCCATTGCTCCATTGGTGAAATATCACTATTTTCTGTCTTGAAATTATTGAAATCCCCAATTTTTTTTGGGGTATACTTTATACACCCCATTTCAGACTATCAGTATGTTTATGAATGGTCTTGAAAATTGGTGTTTAAAGTGTATATACCACACATATACCATCATGTACCCTCTGGTAATTTAACATAGCTATTGAAAATGGCCATTTATAGTGGATTTTCCCATTAAAAATGGTGATTTTCCATAGTTATGTTAGTTTAACAGAGGGTATTTAGCATGTGGAATGATGGTATGACTCCCCCACTTCTTGCTGAAGCCAACCAGGCTCGAGCTGCTCCAGCGAGTCCACCTCCTTTGATCATCGAGCGGAGAGACGAGGATCGCTCTCCGAATATGCCAGTAACATGCCATCGATCTATGTTTTTTTTGTCGCAACTCATGGGATGATTTAATGAATATCCAATTCATACCCCATTACATATATATATATATGTATATACATACATACATGCATACATACATACATACATATGTATGTATGTATATATATATAAAATACAATATTCCATTAAAATTGGTGATTCCACAGGATTTTTTTGCAGGCCCTGATTTGGTGATTTAAAGCTCTTCGATCTTCGCCAAGAGTCGGCTTCGCCACCAGCCATAGCGATAGGACGCCACGGTCCATGAGCCTGAGCAACGTAGCCACCTCAGCTTCCGAAGATGGCTTTTTCAAAATGTTATATGATTATCCATCGTCTGTCTATCCATCACTATCCATCATATCCTGGAAATGATCTATCATTGGTCTATCATCATTTTCCATGAATATGACTATCACTATCCATAATTTGTCAAAATGTTATATGATTATCCATCATTATCCATCATCTATCATCACCTATCATTTTTATCTATCGTTCATCACTGTCTATCATTATCAGTATCACTATCAGTACGACTTATTATTATCACTATAAGTGTGAACGTCGATCATTACCCATCATTATAAACTTATTATGGATTGCTTATAACATCTATCATCACTATCTATTATCAATAATTATCCATCATTATATCTATTGATAAAATATGATATACTAGACTATCCATATATTCTCTATCCGTCATTATATTATCTATTCATCATTGTGTATACATATATATGTATATATACATCCAACCCATCAGTATACCCACATTACACAATAATTCTCAATCCATCATTATATTATCTATTCATTTTTTTTTATATAATCATGATTATCACACTATCATAATGATCGATACGTCACTCACTGATTGATATGTCAATGATTAAAATCATTCATATGGATACTTACATATTATTACCAATATATTATAAACATATTATGATATATCATGTGATATTACGATATATTATGATATATCATAAAATATCATGATATATCATGATATATCATGATGTATTATGATTTATTATGATGTAGTGTGAAATATTATGATATATCATGATATATCATGATATATTATGATTTATTATGATGTAGTGTGATATATTAGGATATATCATGATATACTATGATATATTATGACTTATTATGATATAGTGTGATATACTATGATATATCATGATACATTAATATTATGATTTATTATGATTTATTTTGATATATTATATTACATTATATTATATTATATTATACATTATATTATATTATATTATATTATATATTATATTATATTATGTTATATTATACATTATATTATATTATATTTTATTATATTATATTATATTATGTTATATTATCATTATATTATATTATATTATATTATGTTATATTATACATTATATTATATTATATATTATATTATATTATGTTATATATTATATTATATTATGTTACATTATCATTATATTATATTATATTATGTTATATTATAATATAATGTGTTATATTATATTATATTATATTATATATTATGTTATATTATCATTATATTATATTATATTATGTTATGTTATATTATATTTTATTATATTATGTTATTTTATATTATATTATATTATGTTATATTATATTATATTATGTTATATTATATTATATTATGTTATATTATATTATATTATATTATATATTATCATTATATTATATTATATATTATATTATATTATATTATATTATGTTATATTATCATTATATTATCATTGTATTATATTATATTATATTATGTTATATTATACATTATATTATATTATATTATATATTATATTATATTATGTTATATTATATTATGTTATATTATCATTATATTATATATTATATTATATTATATTATGTTAAATTATATTATATTATATTATGTTATATTATACATTATATCATATTATATTATATAATATATTATATTATGTTATATTATGATTATATTATATATTTTATTATATTATATTATATATTATATTATGTTATATTATCATTATATTATCCTTGTATTATATTATATTATATTATGTTATATTATACATTATATTATATTATATAATATATTATATTATATTATATTATGTTATATTATCATTATATTATATTATATTATTTTATATTATATTAGCATTATATTATATTATATTATATATTATATTATGTTATATTATACATTATATCATATTATATTATATAATATATTATATTATATTATATTATGTTATATTATCATTATATTATATTATATTATATTATGTTATGTTATATTATATTATATTATCATTATTATCACAATGCTTCTTGGGCAAAACCTTGTGTGAACTCCAAGGTCAAGGAAGGCCGCCCCGCTTGCCCCGCTCCACGGATGGCGTCGGCTTCCAAGAACATCCAGCTGTCCGTGGGACAAGTTGTGGTCAGACCATTTGGGATGGTTGAAACCCTATGAATAATGGTGGTTTTATGGGAAAATCATAGGAAAACCCATAGGAAAATGGTGGTTTTATGGGAAAATCATAGGAAAACCATAGGAAAATGGTGGTTTTATGGGAAAATCATAGGAACACCATAGGAAAATGGTGGTTATACCATGTCTACTACCCTCTGGTAAACTGTTACATAACTATAGAAAATCACCATGCTATTAATGGGTAAATCCACGAACTAAATGGGCCATGTTCAATAGCTATGTTAAATTACCAGAGGGTATCTATCTATCTATCTATCTATCCATCCATCCATCCATCCATGGATCTACCGATCTATCGACGATCTATCGATCTATCGATCTATCGACCCATCTATCGACTTATCTTTCTATCTATCTAGTTAGATCTAAGACTAATGTTGAATCTAGACCCACATCTAAGACTCTAGACTAAGCAAATCAGATGAAATCGACTCTTACCTAATCGTATCTATTCATGATATTTTCGAGATGTTTACCTTTCGAAATATGGAGCTTTCTGAATTCCTCGTTGGGCCCCCCTTTTTTTTTCATCTGCAGGCTACGAGACCTCCAAGGACCACACGGATGGAGCGAAGCCAAAAACACTGTTATTTCATGGTGATTTCATGGTGATTTCATTGGATTTACTCAAGTTTTATGGTGATTTACTGGGATTTAGTTAGCTAAGTTGCTGAACTTCAATGATTATATAAGGCTCTATTGTAGACATATCTGCAGTTAATGTTGGTTCTAAAGCAACAAGCATAGCTGGGGGCACCACCATCAGGATCCACCATCCCCAAGGACCACCATCCAGTGGCTGGCAACGTTTAAGTCATTGCGCAATACTGACATGAAGCACTCTAATATAAATGATGAACCCCAAAAAATCATTCTTCACCAGATCATCAAATTGGTTTTATACCATGAAAAATTTCATTCTATTCCTACTGTGGATGGAAGAAATCCTGCACCAGTTGATATATGGTTTATCCCATTATTACTAGGGGTTCAACCATCCGTTTGGTGGTGCGGGATTTCTTCCATCCACAGTATTGACTAGATGACTAAAGCCATATTTTTCCCAGCTACAAAGCTCCAGCCGGTGACGGCTCACCCGCTTTAGGACTCGGACGCGACAACCCGATCCGGCCGTGGGGCACCGCGTGACAGATGCTGTGCGAAGCCTAGTGCTGAAGGGAAAACCTCCTGGAGCAATTTGAAGTTAGAGCCTGGTTGATTGGTTACGAAAGGGTTACGAACTTATACTAGCTAAGTATGCTAATTTGCTGCAAATGATGATAAACCATAGGATTTCGAAAGCATTTTCAAGCAACTAGTAGAATGAGATGGGAGAACCGGGCGATTTTTCATGGTTCATTTAACATCATTTAACCCTATATCTGCCCCATGAAAACTATAGATATATCATGATATATCTAACACAAAAGCATGGGCCCATCAGACAAAAAAATCCACCAACTGAGCCATCTTGGGGGGCCCGGGGCCCATCTGGTTCCGAATTGTCTCAGGGCTTGGTACCTGCAGCACAACAATCGCAGATTTTGCGAAGGTGCCAACGGTCTCCAACTGTGCCAAGGGTCAAGTGGTGATCCCTTGGGATCCCTTGGACTGGTGAAGGATGATGAAAAATTCTATGTAGAAATCTGGAGAATGACCTATGACTCCTATGACACAAATGATTCATCTGGAGGAACATGTTTCTGGAAATTTTCACCGTTGATGATGACATTTGATTATTGACATGTTCAAAAAAAATCCATCTGTGGATCTTTGACTTTCACTTCAGAATCTCCAGAGATTGGGGAGAGGGGACGTTGTTTTCGAGGTGACTATGGATCGGATGTAAAACTGCCGCGTTTCGGAGTGTTTTTTTGCTAACTCATCTTAGTTTGTTGCAATAAATCAGCCAACATAAGCCAACCATAGAAACTGATGGTTGGAATAGCAAGAATAGCAACCATCTATGGCACATTTTTCGCTATGGTGGATCCGTTGTTGCTATAAACGATGATTGTGGATCCCACCATGATCCCACCATGGCCCATAGGAGTGCTGCGGAGAAGATTCAGCATTTCTGGCGGCAGTATCAGAGGTGGGAAGTGTCAAAGCTGCAGCGCGACGGGGCATCGAAAAAAGGTGGTAGACTTAAGCGATGAACAAAATGGAAGAAAGCAAACCTGAAGAGGTGGGGGTTATTGAACATTTAGTTTGACAAAACCGCGGCTAGTGATTGGGATATCTACAATTCCCTTCAAGACAGATAGGGGCCGATAAGTGCGCGAGGGGAGCATGTCCAGGGCCAATCAGCAGTGGAACATATCACGAGGACAAATGGACTTGCAAGAAACAGAAACGGGGTATACACATAGCAAGACTTGAGCATTTTTCAGTGACAGATGTCATCGCCACATTTCAAGGTAGACTGTCAAGAAATCAGTCAGCTTCCCCGTGCAGAACTTTCGTTCAATGGCCCATTCAGAATATGTCATCAAATCCCAGTTTCCCAGTTTCTATTCCCATGGTAAGTTTCACCCAATTGGGTGATCACTTTATTTCCCACGAAATAGCTTATACCCCCATTTATAATCCCCATTTCATATGGAAATTCCTATGGAATAGCCTTCACCTCAGGCCAGCCATGCCAGGAATAAAGTGCAAAGTTGCGACCAAAATCGCTTGGAGAACGCCGCCGCCACCAAGCCCCTCGGCTCCGGTGTTATGGTGGTCCACAATAAGAGGTACCCGGCCTGGTAAACACACCAAAAACTATGGAAGATCACCATTTTTAATAGGAAAATCAACTAAAAATCAACTATAAATGGTCATTTTCGATAGCTATGTTCAATTACCAGAGGGTAGCACTTCTTCATTTCGCTGCTCGGTGATTTGTAGTATCTTCATGTATCTTCAGAGTTTGCGCTCGCAATCCGGCTCTTCCAGCCCCAAAAATGTCGGCTCGACTTTTCAAGTGAATTGAAACAAATCCAGTGATCCATCAGATACAAATCGGGTTACATAAACGATCGGCATCCCAAAAGATAGATCCTCTCTTCGGAACTGGTCAACCTTGGAGGATATTCTGAGAATCTTTTGCAAGGTATTTCACCACATTTTTCTATTTCAGCCCAAATATTCAGCCAGTATACACAACCAGTTTCCGCGATCCCAGCTGACTTCATATCGGGACTCAACCAGCAACGACAATCATCAGTTCTTGAAGACCCAATAAAAGCACCCCATATCTGATTCAACCCCCATAAAATATGATAAGATATGATATCATATAAATATCATACACATATCATAAAGATAAAGATATCATAGAAATACTACACAAAATCACAAATTATCACAAGCTATCATAACATATCATAACATATCCCATGAACACATCTCCGTATCTCCCATGAAAGTTCCACGCTTTTCCCCATGGATTCCGCATCGGCCGAGGATCCAAGCCACCTTCCGTGCCTTCGCAGTGGGGGGACCACAGGGCCCGCAGGGACCATGAACGACATGGATTTCGCGTGGTGACAGATAGGGATGACATATGTTAGATAGGCAGCAAACATATATACCCTCTGGTAAATTCACATAGACCCTGAAAATCACGAAAGGTTTAGTGGAAACTAATCATACTCATCTTCCAACCATATCTGCCAGGGAAATCTGGGTAAATTGTAATGGCTTGATGCCCTGTGCTCGGGTGTCAGGTCCTACCCCCTGTAGGTGGGGAAGGTAGATGTTCAGAAGAAGAAAAATCTGGGTAAATTTTAGTAACCTCATTGTCACTGGAATCATGATTAGTAAGGGGAATCATCCCCAAATGGCCTTTCTTCATGTTCGTGAAACAGTACAATTTACCCAGACAAATGTCTGGATGACTTCCCCCAGTTGACTAGTTGCCAGTTTTTATTCATAGACTTCCAAGATCAATAGCCCGTTTCGCTTGGAAATAAATACCCTCAGGTAATTCAAGCTAGCCATGGACTAAAACTCCCCACGAAAGTAGATGTTTACATATGGGTTTGTCTCAAAATAGGGTATCCAAGAATTTCACAGAATGCACTGGCTATTCATCATTTTCTTCATTCAATTTTAATTTTGTCGCTATCCACCATTTTCAGACACCATGCGTTTAGTGTGGCCAGTTTCCATGGCAAACTGCACCATAGGGTAGAAATCACCTGGGGATTCTGCGTTCATGGATATGATATAATGATAATTCCCATTTTTTTTGCAGGTAGGTTCAGAACTCGCCAACTAATCATCAACCAGCCATTTCCTATCAATTATTCAATTGTATTCCCATCTTTTGATGGCTAAAAAACCCGTACTCATTTTTAGAATGAATAATAATAATAATCCGTATAATAATAATCATAATAGTAAACAAAAATAATAATAGATGTTAGAATACTGTTAAATCCCTATTATTATCAATTATTACCCTCTGGTTATTTAACATAGCCATGGAAGCCATGGCTGATTGAAATAGATGATTTTCCCAGCTAGAAACCTCCATTTATTTTGGGGATTTTCCATGGCTATGTTAAATAACCAGAGGGTATATCAGATGGTATGATTATTAACAATACTGCTTATCAATAATTATTATTAATCATATCCCTATTATAAATCCCTATTATACTATATTACCAGCTGTTTTGTTTTGTTCGACGAAGCCACGACTCAGGTTCGACGAAGCCGACGGAGCAAGGTGTCAGCGTTACGCCATGGATGAAGCCAAATTTTCGATGAGGATTTAAGCAGACATATCACATCTACCCTTTGGTTATGACTAACAGTTTGCCATGGAAAGATCCACCATGCTATTAATAGGTAAACCATCTATTTCTATGGACCATCTATACCATGGCTATGTTAGTCATAACCAGAGGGTAGATGGATAGATGGATGGATAGATTCCTGGGTAAATTATAGCGACCTCACTTTTCTCCCTCACTATAATCATATTTAGTAAGGGGAATCATCCCAAAATGGCCCAACAATTCAGGGTAGTGAAATATGATAATTTACCCACATGGATAGATGGATAGATAGATGGATAGATAGATGGATAGATAGATGGATAGATATTTAGATAGTTAGATATTTAGATATTTGTATATTTGCATACTTATATATTTATACATCCAAGGGATTCTAATGGGATGCTTGTTTTCATGAGGATCTAGAGGATCTATGTAAACATATTTCATGAGGGACATCCATGTTTAATATCCATAGTATATCCATGGTATATCCCATGGGAGGACGGCTGCACGAGATCCCAAACTGGTCAGTGAATCCCTTTCGCAGTCCGCAGTCATGGGGACTGGGAGGTGGGTTGGTGTCTGGTTATCCGCTATGGAAAACGCTCCATGTCTACTCTATGTGTTTCTGATGTTTATTCCCATGATATCATGGGATAGACTTTTTCCGATGGTCAAGTCTTCATTTGTATGGAAGATAGGATAAATACATAAAGGAGTTGCTTCCATTTTAGTGATTTTTGCTACCCTCTAGTAATCAAACATGGCTTGCAGGAATATCCACCATTTATAGTTGATTTTCCCAGCCATAAACCTCCATTTGGCTTGGGGATTGTCAATTGATTACTTAAGGGTAACCCCATTCATCGCCTTTTATAATATCGCGTGATTATTCCTATTAAATCACATAAACCATACTAAACTCCAATTCAACTACCATGATTATCCCATCAAAAAACTAGTTTATCTGAGTCTTCATGCTGAACTTGCTGAACCCATCGATAAAAACATTAACACATGGTGATTCCTGTCCCATTAACCATAATTAGACACCAAGTTTCAGTAAACCATAAAATAATCCATAGATAAACTATACTTAATTCATAGATAAACCACAGATCATCAACCATAGTAACCTTAGTTACCATCTGTAAACACTAGATTATAGATTTCCTAATTTTTTGGATAAATGGACATAGTGGATATAATGGACAATGGATATAATGGATATAATGATGGTACTATTTATCTATTGATATATATATATACATTATTATATTAACTATGGATATCTACGAAAATTATGGATATTCTAACTATGGATAGATTCACCATTAAATCACTATTAAATCACCATTAAATCATGGATTATGGATATATCATCTACAGTACGCTATGTTGAATAACCAGAGGCTACTAACTATGGATAGAATAACCATTAAATCACCAGAGTTAAACTCTTTGAGATTCACTATGATATCCCATATTATCCCATTTTTTGTACCTCTTAATCACCATTCAATCTTTATGTCCCAGGCCGCAACAGCCATCCAGCGCATTTTGCGCGGCTTCCTGGTGCGCCTTTGCATCCGGCGACACCAAGCCGCGGTGGTGATTCAGGCGAATCGACGAATGCTGAGTGTTTCATGGGGAAATCTCCGATACGCTTTGGTAATGACATTCACAGTTTGCGAACTGGAAAATGGCCCATAGAAATAGTTGATTTATGTTGATTTACCTGTTAAAGATTGTGATTTTCCAGTTCGCAGACTGTTAGTTTACCAGAGGGTATCGATAAATGGAGGTTTTTTGAAGGGTAAAATCATCCATAATTATCTCAGAAATGGTGAAACCTGTTTTTGTTTTAGAGAATCACCTATAAATGCAGGTTTCGAGGTTTCTAGCTAGGAAAATCATCTATCAATGGGGGTTCTTACGGGGAAATTTGTTGCAGTAAATGGAGGTTCTAGCTGGGAAAATCATCTATAAATGTAGGTTTGAAGGGAACATCATCATATATATATATATTTATATATAAATAACCATGAAACAAATGGGAAAAATGTGGTTTGAACCATGAACATTGGAAGGCATGCTGAGTTTAAGCATGAAACATGATGTTTTTCATGCTGGTTTAACCATGAAACGCAGGGATTTAAACGTCAGAAATTTTCATGGAACATGGATGAAGATGCTGATTTAACCATTGAACATCAGCAGACAGAGAGCTTCTCCCTTTTTGATGGGACTGGGCGAACTGGAAAGCGGCTGATCGTCCCCTTCAAAATGTTGCCTCAAAGTCACGAAGATATTTATTGGTGATATCCTCAACTACTGGTTGGTGGTGACTGGAACATGAATGGTAACATTTTCCATATATTGGGAATTTCATCATCCCAACTGACGAACTCACTCCATCATTTTTCAGAGGGGTAGGTATACCATCATGTAACATGTTTACCGTTTTTTTCCATGATTAAGCCACAATGTGTGAACGTAAAACCACCATTTTTGATGAAACTACATTTTTTTTCATGGTTCAACCGTTCAACCACTGGTTTTCATGGTTTTTCCCACCATGTCACCAGCTAAACCATCATGTTTCACAATGCTTCATCGTTAAAACATGTTAAAACCACCATTTTACCATCATTTTTCATGCGTAAACCACTGATTTAACCACCATTTGGTCACCATTTTTTCCACGGCTTTCCCTGCCACGTTTTTTTCATCGTCGTCGCAGCGCCACGGCATCGGCTTCCTGACCCGGAAGAACCTGCGCGGCGCGGTGGATGCGGCCGTCGGGGGAACTCAGCAGGAACTCGGTCGTGTCCGACGATTTTTTTTGAGCAGTTCCACTGTGAGAAACAGAAGCATAGTGATGGTTATATATACGTACGTATATATATATGTATATATATATACATATATATACATACATATATATATATATTCACATATGACTATAATATGGTTGTAATATGATTATAATATTGATTGATGGTTAAATGATATGGAGGTTTCCTAAGTCATTTGGGTACTCCCAGTTATCATCCATTTATGGATTTTCCCTTAGAAATAATCCATTTTGGGATAGCTCCATTGTGGGAAACCTCCATATATATATATATACATATGTATACACACACACACACTTAACATATGAATATAATATGGTTATAATGTGGTTTTAATATGCATAAACATTGTTATGTGATTACACATCTCATGAAAATGGTTGTAATACATATGATATCGATGGGATGATATGGTGATTTATGGATATTATATATGTATGGTTTATTATTAAACCTAATATCTGGATATTGTATGATTATTTTCAATCTCCAATTTATATATGGTTGCGCTATATGAAATACCACCCAAAATGCTGCCATGATATGAGTGCTTAGTGGCTTAGTTGTGAACATGATCTAAAACAACTGCGCACACAAACACACGCAAATAGCAATGTGTTTTAGATCGTTTTGAAACTTGACAACACCAAGAAGAGATCTTTGAATATTGACCAAGTCTGGATCCCCCCAAGATCCTGGATTTCTGGCACATATCAACCATTATTTACTGACCTTTACCAATTGGTTTATTAAGCTTTGTGACGCTTCACCCACATATGTCGTTCCTGAAAAATCGCTGGCAGGTCGTAGAAAATGGATAGGTGAAACGAATCCCGGGAAAATGGCCAAACACCAGCGTCACCAGCTGGTTTACTCCATATTTTGTTGGTTACCCTCTGGTAACATGGCAAAGGAAGATCGTCCACATATATATATATGATATTCTTAATATATGATGATCATCTATGATACAGTAATCAGAGTTTTGATGATCATCTTTCCAATAGATAGACTATCATCTAAGTATATATGTTTGTCATCTAATTTTTATGAGTATCATCATTTTTGATTTTGCCAATTTTTTGGGGCCCGGCTGGAGCTGACTTGATCATTTTTAAGCGTCCCTTTGCAGGTCAGAATCCAACGCGTGGCACGAGCGCGCATTGCCAACATCAATGTGGAGGCGAGATGAACGGAAGGGAAACGAGCTGCAGGATATGTAGGATCCGAAGGTTCATGAAGAAAACTCGTGTGAATTTGAGCTTCAAGATCAGGGATCTATGATGATCTATGACCAATTTCAAACTGTTTGAATGAGGAGCATGATGATAAACCATGTTTGATTTTTATTTCCCGTTCTTCCAAAAACCTCTAATCAGCGATCCCGCCGTTTTCTCACCATCAGGGGAATCATCCCCGAAGATGGCGATTTTCATGGCCACAAGTGTTGGTGAATGGGAAGAACCATTGTCCTGTACAGTACCGTCCAAAGATGTTGGTTTTTCACTTCAACATGTACCCTCCTTTTTTGAACCAACGGGAACCGTAGAGTAGATTCGTGGTTTTTAACCACCATTTGGAGATCATTGTCCGAAAGCCATGCGAGAACTGACTAGCACCATCCAATTCCATGGGTCCAGATTTTTTAGACCCCCCAACATGACATTTGTTTGGTGGATTCGGGTGACCATCTAATTTTCAGTTCCCAACTTGACAAATGTCCGAACCGGGCCTCCGTTCTGCTGGCAATACAATGTATCATCCCACTTCATCCAGCAATTGGGATCCTAAATGATTGTAACAGCCTCTCCGTTTGATTGGATACATCCGCGTTTTTGTTCCAACAAAAACAAGATGAAGCCCACGAACCCGAATGCTCACACGTATGTTAATGGTACAGATGTCAAAACACATGGTTATGCAGTCACGCACAATACCTTTCTGTAATAGTTTATTTGAACAGTCTTGTACATGTTTCCCTTGTTACCAGTCTGCAGTGTGGAGTGGAAAGTGTAGAGTGTGGAGTGTGGAGTGTGAAGTAAGGAGTGTGGAGTGTAAAGTGTGGAGTGGGGAGTGTAGAGTGTGTAAAGTGTAGAATGCGGAGTGTAAAGTGTAGAGTGTGGAGTATGGAGTGTAAAGTGTAGAGTATGGAGTGTGGAGTGTAAAGTGTGGAGTGAGGAGAGTAAAGTGGAAAGGGTGGAGTGTAAAGTGTAAAGTGTGGAGTGTAGAGTGTATAGTGTAGAGTGTAAAGTGTAGAGTGTGGAGTATGGGGTGTAAAGTGTGGAGTGTAAAGTGTAGAGTGTGGAGAGTAAAGTGTGGAGTGTAAAGTGTGGAGTGAGGAGTGTAAAGTGTGGAGTGCGGAGTGTAAAGTGTAGAGTGTGGAGTATGGAGTGTAAAGTGTGGAGTGTGAAGTGTGGAGTGTAAAGTGAGGAGTGTAAAGTGTGGAGTGAGGAGTGTAAAGTGTGGAGTGTGGAGTGTAAACTGTGGAGTGTGGAGTGAGGAGTGTAAAGTGTGGAGTGTGGAGTGTAAAGTGTGAGTGTAAAGTGTGCAGTGTGGAGCGTAAAGTGTAGAGTGTGGAGTCTGGAGTGGAAAGTGTAGAGTGTGGTGTGTAGAGTGTGGAGTGTGGAGTGTGGAGTGTAAAGTGAGGAGTGTAAAGTGTGGAGTGTGGAGTGCGGAGTGTGGAGTGCAAAGTGTAGAGTGTGGAGTGTGGAGTGTAAAGTGGGGAGTATGGAGTGTAGAGTGTGGAGTGTAAAGTGTGGAGTGTGGAGTGAGGAGTGTAAAGTGTGGAGTGCGAAATGTGGAGTGGAAAGTGTAGAGTGTGGTGTGTAGAGTGGAGTGTGGAGTGTAAAATGTAAAGTGTGGAGTGTAGAGTGTAAAGTGTAGAGTGTGGAGTGTGAAGTGTAGAGTGTAAAGTGTAGAGTGTAAAGTGTAGAGTGTGGAGTGTAGAGTGTAAAGTGACGATTGTAAAGTGTGGAGTGAGGAGTGTAACGTGTGGAGTGTGGAGTGTAAAGTGTGGAGTGCGGAGTGTGGAGTGGAAAGTGTGGAGTGTGAAGTGTGGAGTGTAAAGTAAGAAGTGTGTAGTGTAAAGTGTGGAGTGTGGAGTGTAAAGTGTAGAGTGTGGAGTGTGGAGTGTAAAGTGTAGAGTGAGGAGTGGAAAGTGTAGAGTGTAGTGTAAAGTGTGGAGTGTGGAGTGTAAAGTCTCAGGTGAGGATTGAGGAGTGTAAAGTGCAAAGTGTAAAGCGCGGAGTGTAAAGTGTAGAGTGTGGAGTCTAAAGTGTATGTGGAGTGTGGAGTGTAAAGTGTAGAGTGTGGAGTGCGGAGCTTCCCCCATAGACACGGCGACGCCACAGGAAAACCAGAGACTCGAGACGAGACACGTGGGTGCAAAAAAACGAGCATTTCGTGCGAGACTTCCTCCAATTTTGATATTTTCCACACGTTATCAAACAGGTTGGAATGTCACAAAGTGCCACGCCTGCCACGCAAAACGACATGACAACCTGCTTGGACACATTCGAATAGGACATGTTTTCCAGCTTCCCCCATAGACACGGCGACGCCACAGGAAAACCAGCGACTCGAGATAAGACATGTGGATGCAGAAAAACCAGCATTTCGTACGAGACTTCCTCCAATTTTGAAATTTTGTGAACATCATCAAACAGGTTGGAATGTCACAAAGTGCCACGCCTGCCAGGCAAAACGACATGACAACTTGCTTGGAGACATTCGAAAAGGACAGGTTTTCCAGCTTCCCCCATAGACACGGCGACGCCACAGGAAAACCAGCGACTCGAGACAAGACACGTGGATGCAGAAAAACCAGCATTTCGTACGAGACTTCCGGCAATTTTCACAGTTGGCAACATGACAAAAGGACACGTTTTGCAGCTTCCCCCATAGACACGGCGAGGCCACGGGAAAACCAGACACGCGAGACGAGACAGGTGGAAGCACCAACACGAGCATTTCGTGCGAGACTTCCTCCAATTTTCACACTTTGTAGCTTCAAAATCGACGTTTTCCTACGAGTTTTCCTTAGAACCTGAAAATTTGCAACATCAAAATCGATGTTTCGTGCGAGGCTTCCGTCAATTTTCAGCACATCGCACAAAATGCCTCGACTGCCACGGCATTTGCACCTTGTCGCCACTTGACGCAGCCCTGCCAATGCGATTTACAAAAAACACGCAACACGACACGTCTAAAGTGCTGCGCCTGCCACGAAAAATGACGATGGACGCGTCCAAAGTGCTGCGCCTCCCACGAAAATTGCAACGCATCTTCTGAAAACGTCACAAAAGTATTGCGCCTGCCACGCAAAACGACTTTCGACACGTTCCAGAACACGTCTGAATGTCACGAAGTGCCACGCCTGCCACGCGAAACGAAGCAACCAGACGTCTGAAACCTCCAAAAAGGACCACCTCTGCAAAACTTCCCATAGGCACGGCCATACGGTCCTCACACGAACGGTTGCGAACGGTTGCGGACGCGGAAGCAACGTCGAGCGAACACATCCTCAACCCCCAGACCCCCAGAGTGAAACGGGAACCCTTGCTACGCATTCGGGAAAAAGTATCCGAAAATGATGACTTTTTGGAGGACACCATTGTTCCATCTCGATTGCTTTATATCCACGCGACCACACACACGGCAGATTTCCCTGATTTAACCTATGCCATAGGCTCGCCGGCGGCTGGTGAAGCATGCGGCCAAGTTGGTCCGTGGCTCCATCCGTGCCCTTTTTGGATTTGGCGAAATGACGGGGGTGTTCTAAGGGGATAGCTGTGCCCCATAGCTAAGTTGGTGAACATAACTCCAACAACTTGAGTTTATGGTAGATATTAAACTGTACTTTTTCTGGGGGTCATAAACCAACTTATAGGAGGGGCACCACCTAACTGGGATCCAACAAAAAGGGTAAGGATTGGGGATTCACTGGGTACCCCAAGCAGCCGAATTATCATCGTTTTTCTTTGGGGGATTTTCCATGAACCATCCAGCTATTGGGGTGCCAGCCATGGAAACCTCCAAGTTGGCAATGCGAGGTACGTGGCTGATCCGGCAAGACTTGAAGCAGCTGCGAGTTCTTTCGGAGCAGCAGGAGGCCCCCTCATCCCATCCGGGGTCCCGGAGATGGCCCGGCGATGGCGGAGAAATCTGCAACTGGTTGATCTAACATCGGCCATGACATGCCATGACCACATCCACTTCATTGTCATTGCCAACTTCATCTGAAATGGCCAATGTTTCTGTGTTTTTTTCTGGTCATTTTTCTTGGATTTGTGAAAAATGGCCAGTTTTCTCGGTGTTTGCCAGACTGCCATGTGAATTTTTTTTGAGGCCCGAGAAGAATCGAGCCGGAAGATTCAAAGCGTTTGGAGAGGAGGTCGGAGGGTTTTTTTTGCATTCAGCCGTGACGTTTTACCCTCTGGTAGACTAACGTTTAACTATGGAAAATCACCATTTTTGATAGGTAAAAAAAGTAGGAAGCAAATGCCATCATAGCTAATTCTGTTAGTTTACCAGAAGGTTTTAAAGGTTTAAAGTTTAGACCATTAGCAGCATTAGCATATGCTGATATTGAGAAATGATGGTCCATAATACGTTACCATTGGGGGGAATGAGGCATGATCATCAGACATACGGTTTTTAACGAGCAAGAATGGGAATCTAGTTTGTACATGTTTGTACATGATGGTTGGTTGACGGCTGATGAGTTTTTTCGGGGATAAAGCTACCAACCAACCAGTGGAGCGTTTTTTGGGCCCGGGTTGGTGTCCCAACATGATACCCTTGGCATGCCATGACTAGCTGCGCTTTTTTGGTGATCAGAATCCCAATGTTGGTTGGAAATGGTTGGAATGGAATGCAACTCAGATCGGCAAATTTAAGTCTCTGTCTGACTGGATCTGATGTACCAAAAAACCTTCAGAGTCAAAAAATGGAACAGTCTTTGGATAACCAGTCTTTTTTTTTTACCCTCTGGTTATTTAACATGGCCATGGAAAATGGCCCATTTATAGATGATTTTCCCATTAAAACGTCCATTTATAAGGGATTTTCCATAGCTATGTTAAATAACCAGAGGGTATCTTTTTTTACATTTTTTTCACTTGACATTTACATTTGCTTCATGGAGATACCCCTTTCTACATTTGCTTCTAGCAGACCAGAGCTTGATTTTTTTGATGGCGCAGAATGGAAGCTGAAATTCCCGGAGATCCGATTTTTGGAGAATTTTTCACCATGTTGACCGTTCACGACCGTTCAACCATGATTTTTCACCATGGATGGTCAATTCCGGTGAAATCTCAGCGGTTACAGGTTGTGCTCGTCAGAATGTGGCAGATATGAGGCGCAACGACTGTGTCGAGATGGGCCCGGGGGTGACAAGACACAGACAGCACCCCCCAATTTGTGCCGAATTTGGTAAAATCCAAGTCAAAATTGGTCAACTGAAGCTTTTCTGAATCTCTTGATACAGCGGTTGTGAAAAACATATGACATTTTTGTTAACCAACTTTTGATTTTCGATGAAATGTCAGGTGCCTTTGGTGCCCCTTTTTTTCGTGGCCATGGGTTGCGCTTGCGTCGTGTTCCAGGAGCGCTCACAAGAAGCGAATCATGCTCTTCAGGGCTTCGGCGAGGCTGCAGGCGGTGAGTTTCTGAAGCACTCCAGGTTTGCATGGGGTAAACCGGGTAAACATCGAAAACCATTGTGTGGAAAACAAACACATCACACACAATGTAGATCATCTTACTGACACCCTGGGGTTTTCCGTGGTAACTGCTAGATCTTGAATCGAAGGCAAGATTTTTTCAAAGATTTCAAGGGTCCCAGCTAGTGATGAAGCTGACCTGCCACTTACTGAGAACTAGGCGTCAAATATTATTTGAATGGGTCAAACTGCACACATTTCCCTGAAATGGAATACAAATTATATACTTTCAGTGGCATCCAGTGGTGGACCAACTCGCATGTCTATCAATAAGCTTCTTATTGATGTTTGATTTTTCTTTTATTGTTACATAGCAACTATATAGTATATAAATGTATAACAATATGATATATATCTCTATAATATACTACCATATACCACCACGTTTTTTTTGTTTCTTTCAACAACCTACATCATCGTTTTTCGCTCCCCATCCGCCGTTTGCACGTGGCTCGAGCTGGACATGTTTTTTTTCCGAAATTTGGTCGGAAAGATGGGCGGTTCGGCTGGGAAGCACCCAGACAACTACGAATACGAAGATTTTGGGCACCTACCCCATCTGGCAGAGCCTCAGATGGACGTTTTTTTTTTTTTTTTAAACTGTAAAGATGGTTTGATGGATGATTTACATTGGTTTACCTGCGGATGTTGAATGTGTTTTTGTTCAATATCCTTTATCCTTTCCCATGATATTGTTTTTTCTGTGTTTTTTTTCCATTCTGAAGATGGGGGATTAATGCTTCTATGTATGTTTCCTGGTGGGGTTTGGAGTTTGCCTTTTGTTTCGCCAAAGTTTCAGAAGACAATCCCTTATGGATTACAGAGAATGTTTTTTTTTTCCTCAAACAGTGTACTGTTAGGGGTTCTTAATGCTTTCTCAAGGTGTACGCCTTGGTGTTGGATGGTGTGTCCGCCTTCCCGAGGGTCTTGTCTCCCTTTGTCTCCCATTGTACCCCTTCTTGTTTCCCTTTGTTGGATGGTGCGTCCGCCTTCCCGAAGTCTAGTCTCCCCTTGTCTTCCACTGTCTCCTTGTTCCCCTTGTCTCAGCTTGTCTCCCGGCTTGTCTCCCAGTTTGTCCCCTAGTTTGTCTCCCATCTTGTCTCCCAGCTTGTCTCCCAGCTTGTCTCTCTTCTTGTTTCTCTTTGTGGCGAGTGGTCTCATTTTTCATTTTTTCTCTAAACAGTGTCTGTCTGCGGTTCTTAATGCTTTCTCATGTGTTTGACCCTGTTCCTCGAAACATTTCCTGAATCCACCCACTGTTTGGGGTCTACGGTGGTGTACTTTAACCAATAAATGATGGTCTGAAAATGATTGAATTTACATGAATTTACCCCAATTCATGGCAATTTCATAACTCAAAACGAATAAAATAAATGACAGAATGATGAGAGACCAATGGATTTTTGGGGATCCATATTTTCACCAGGACCCCGTTGTGGTTCCAGTGGTTCCAGTGGTTCCAGTGGCCCAATCCGTGACATTCCGTGAGGATTTTCAATCGGATCCGCCACAAAATTCAGAACCACTCTCCGTACGGATAAGGTCAGGGCCGCTGTGCGACGTTTCGACGTTTCTTTGGAGTTTTTGGATTTTCCTGCACCAATTTTGGGAGGTTTCACCATCGAACTTAGGCATCGAACTGTAAAAAAATTTGCTGAACTACCTCAACATCAAAAAGTGCTGATTTCTTTGGTTTACCTGTTTTTTCGATGCTCACAGAAAGGGCCGTTATAACATCCAAAGATTTTTTTCGGATTGTCATGATGAGATCATTGGGTGCTCCCAATGATCTGCAGGTACCCTATAGATCAAAATTTGGCCGACGCCATGGCCCATTGAGCTCGATGATTCACAAAGAAAAACGATGATTTTCCACAGCCAACTGATTTTTCATGATTTTTCAACTGTTAAATGACCTCTGGGGTAACCAGGATCTGAATCCAATCCATACAGTAGCAGACCCCGTATACTGGATGTTCCCTTACTGGATGTTCGCAGGATGGTGAACGGCGATGTCCTTGAATTCTCGGCACTCGCTTACGACACCGTGCGAAGATTGAAGCAGAAGGTCGCAGATCAGATCAAAATCCCTGCACACCAGCAGCGCTTGCTCCTGAATACACAGATCCTCAGGGTGGGGCCGGGTGGAACCCGCCGCCGGAACCCGGGGCCGGGTGGAAAACCTGGCGGGTGATTTTTTCAGAAATGGGTAGTACCAGATCCATATTAAATATATTAATGTGGCCCCAAGTTGGGACCAAAATCCACGATGTTTTTTCCCCAGCAAACCTCCATTTACAGCCAGCCACGTCTGATTCTGGAGGGTAACTCCATTACTCTCCCATCATTATCCCACTATTATCCCGATAAAACGACATAAAACCCTACTATTACCATTAAACCGCAATTTTCCAATTATAATTTCAATCACTATCCTATCATAAAATCGCATTGTATAGTATAGACGATGTTCCAAAAAAATCATAGTATCCCATTATTATCCCATGATTATCCCTATTAAATGAACTACCATTAAACCTCCATTTGTCCAATCATTTTCCCAATCATTATCCCATCATAAAATTCAATTTTAGAGATGATGATCCATAAAAATAAATTTGTCTCATTTTTATCCCATGATTATCCATATCAAATTAAACCACAGAAAACCCTAGTGAACTACCATTCAACCTCCATTTGTCCAATCATTTTCCCAATCATCCCATGATTTTTTCCCATGATTTTACGCCACCGGGAATGGCAGGACCAGCTTTTGCTGCGGGATGCCTATGGTCTCAAAAAAGGTGTGGATTTTATGGTGATCTCATGGGATTTCATGGACATTTATGGTGAATTGACCAGACATTGATTTAAAAAAAAATGATTGGAATTGATGGTGATTTTAGCGTTTCACCAGCAAAAATGGTGATTGAATGGACTTTGAATGGACTCTGAATGGAATGATGCCATGGCTGGAAAATGTCCCTGCAGTGAACTTCGTTCGCTCCATGAAAATCCCGTTTGGATCTAAGGCAGGCACACAAAAATCTTGACCCTGGGCCTTTTTGTTTCGTGCAGATATTTAGCCACTAGACATTTGATGGTTTAAGGCCCTCAAAATGACGAAGAAATGGTGGGTTGTGGCAATTCTTCGACAAGACCCATTTTCGGGTTTGGCTGAAAATGGGGCTTTCCCAAGTCGCAATATCATTCAGATGTTCAATCAATTGATGATAATTCCCTCATTTTTGGTTGATGGCATCATGTTGGTGGTGATAATTCATGATATTTCCATATGCACATCCCATAAACATCACCAATTGATGATCATTCCCCCAAAAAGAAACATAAAATTCCCATCAAATCCCCAGAAGATATCAAAAAACCCCACAAACATCCCATAAAAATCCCCTAAATATATCTTTTGATGGTAATTTTCCCATAGATCCATAGATGGTGAAGGTCCCGAAGGTCGCGCCACTTAAAAGGCTCGTCCCCGGAGTTGCCAGAGCTGACGCTGGTCTTCGGGCCTCCCATCCCTTCGTGGGGTGTGGAACAAGGCTTTGATGACGACTTCGCAGGTGCGGTTTGTTTTTCGGTGCTGATGTAAAACACGAATCTGGTTTATATTAATCATACTGTAATATATATATATAAATGTGATAGTTGTTTTTTTTTTTTAATAGATAGATACTGTGTATATGTGTATATACTGTATATATATAATATACTATGAATGTTTGGTTAATATATGATGTATGTAAATATACATGTCGCAATAAGTATATATATATATATATTATATGTTTTTTTTTAAATACAATTGTGTGTGAGTGTATGTATATACACAAATGTTAGGGGTTTGTATAAGGTTCATATTTTATAATGGTTTGCTGTATGGTTATACATTTGTTTATGTATTCTCTGTCGTTTTATATTAGTCGTTCTTCACATGCGGCCCGGTTGCAGAAAATGTGGGTCCAAGCAGTTGGATAAAGCTGGCATGATATCCTGCAAGGAATGCTGGTTTTTGCGAAGGTCAATGGATTGGTTGAAGGGAATATCTACAGGAAACCATGGTTTTTACCATCAAGTATAGGGGGTTCCTGTAAATTTTCCCATCATCCAATTCTATGCCAGAAAATATTCTCTGAGTTCGTTTTGGCATGTCGAAGAGTCAGCTGGGTTCCTTCCGTGACCACAATCCTTTTATTTTGAGTCGCGATGGTTTGATTGATGTGACACATCCATTGATGGAAGTGATTCCTTCAAACATAATCTTGCAGGGTAATGCTCACTTTAAGACTTTGGGTGTGCTTCAAATTTCAAGACTTCCCAACTACAGATAAAAAAGGGCCATATTACTGGGGGGGTTAGGAGCCAGTGTTGCTCCCAATCCATCTGCTTCGAAAATGAGGCGGCCATAGGTACCCTATGAAAAATCTAAGGGTTAAATCACCCACTCGGTCCATCCAGATCCACCTTTCTTAACTGCTCTGGCCGTTCAGGCTTCTTGCGGGAGCATTTTGCCAAGCATTCAGAGGACCACTTCCCTGGTGAATGGTGGAAAATCCTTTGTTCTTGGTATCCGCTAAGGTTTTTCCGAAAGCCAACTAAAGACCCAACAAAAAAAAACATGCGACAGAACTTGGGGATAGAAAAAGCAACCATCGGTGTTTTATCCAAGGTGGTGCAGGATTTCTTCCGTCCGCAGTAGAAATTGATGGTGAAACACAAATCCACTGCTGGTGGTTCAGCCATCCACGGACCAGTTGAGCAGTGTTCTAGAGCCGGTTGATGTTTGTAATGCCCTTTTTTGATATTTGCCTCATTCAGTCGAGGTGTCCAACTCCACAACTGGATTCCTGGATATCAATGGATTTTTCGAGGATTTTTCCACCAGCTTCCAGGTCACGAAAGGTAGCGTCAGCTACCTGAGTTCTCCGTGCTTCAGCACAAGCTTAGGGGGTATTGGGGGGCCAGCCCGTGCAATTCATGGAATTCTCGCCGTTATGTATTGGATATCAATTATAGGGGGGGGGGGGGCCCCCCCCCCCCCCGAAAATGGTCATGGGTTCAATTCCCACGGGTGACGCGGTCACGGGCCCCCACATTAGAGGCACACTTTCCATGAGGGAGATGTCCCTGTAGTCCAGCATAATTGGTATGCTTCAGCCTCAATAACAGTTGCTGCAAGGGGTCTTAAAAAGGGGTTTTAAATAAACCCCTTTTCGTGCATCATTTCACGCAGCACAAGACACAGTGTCATGCAGTCATGCTCTGGATAAAATCATCTTAGACTGCGCATAAACGTTTTTGGTGTATCATCTTAGGGGCGCAGCATTTTGACACCACTCCTCTCCCACTACACTACCTTTCGTCCGCCTCCGCCTGCTCTCAAGTTTATTTGGGGATAAAATCCCACCATGGCGCCATGGTTTTCCAGCCATTTTTTATGGCTCAGCCCGCCCTGGGGCCCTGGGTCACTTGGGGCCGCAGGGTCAGCCGCAGGAGGAACAGCCCCCTTGGATGGACCACGATGTGGAGATCTGGGAAAGATTTCGGATGGCCGAAGAAGAAAACTTGTTCCGTTTCTCCGTGCGAGGCGTCAACAATCATTTTGTACAGCTCTGGCAGCACGGACAGATGCTTAGATTGATGAGCTTAGAAGATGATTTTGGATATATCTTAGATGATCCAAGGGATCTTAGTTTTGTTGGGGATTAGATCTTATCTTAGATCTAAATCATGGATCTTGGCGATGATCTTAGATCGGAAAAAGCAAGCTCTGGAGATGTAGATTGAGGAGATTGGAATCATCCCCAAAATGGCCCCATGACAATAGCTATTTGACAATCATTGGATGTTGGAAGATATCATGGGATTATCATGAGTTACATTTGGTTTTTCTACCATAGCGAACTGGAAAACAACCATTTATGATGGGTAAATAATCTAGAATTACTTTAGTTTATCTAGACGAGTTCTTGAACATGTTTTTTACTGCTTGTTTGGATCTGCATTATAGCACAAGTGGGATAACAATCCATATATGATCCATATAATCAAAAAAGAGTAGATATTCCATATAATATCAATAAGTATGTCATATGATCATTGCCCACTTACATAAAATAGCTGTGTCCCGCGCTCCCATCAGTATGGTCCGCACAAAATGTTGTCACAAAAAGGCTTGGGAATGCAGTTGACTTTTTTTTCCACTAAAAAATGGCAATCTAGCCATGCAACAATTTCCCTAACCTGGTATATGAATCGACAAATGTCATGATATCTTCTTCATATCTCAATTTGCCAAACATATTCCCCTAATCAAAAAAATAAATATGAATCCCTTATACCCTCTGGTTATTTAACATAGCCATGGAAAATCACCATTTTTAATAGGTAAACCATCTACAAATGGACCATTTTCCATGGCTATGTTAAATAACCAGAGGGTATATTTCCATACTGATGTTCATATATTTTTCAGATGGGTAGGTCAACCACCAACCAGCAATTGTATCCCAACTTCTCCCTCTCTGTGTTATATATGTCCCTAACATACCGGTTGGTGGTTTGGAACTTTTTTTATTTTTCTAATATATTGGGAATTTCATCATCCCAACTGACTAATATTTCTCAGAGGGGTTGAAATCATCAACCAGTTATATATTTCCCTAACATATTTCCCTAATTAAAAAAAGTATGAAACACCCCACCTAGTAGATATTCCTTAATCACCCCCCCAAAATGTGTTATATTTCTATTTCCCATAGTTCAAAAATAGTTCATCATATTTCCCTAATCCCCCCAAAAATATATGAATCCCTTATATATTTCCATTATTCCATTTCCCCTCTGGTTATGACTAACATAGCCATGGAAAGATCCACCATTTTTAAGTTCGGTAAACCATCTATTTCTATGGGCCATTTTCCAATGGGCCATCTATACCATGGCTATGTTAGTCATAACCAGAGGGTAATCCCTTATATATTTCCCTAGCATATGGTATTGATTTAACCCTAACAGATCAATCCGCCGATCGCCCTTTAGGATCTGTGGGATGATCCGAGCCCGACCGGGCGAAGTCATCGAACTGCAGGCCGTGGGCTGGATCCACAACTGCAGTGCCCAGGGCGAAGAGGGCGAAGCGGTGAGCCCCCATTGATGGCACCTAAACAATAGGGAAATATAGGGGGAATGGATGTTTTTTTTTGTTGGATAATATGGGATATTTTTTTGGGTACACTATTTTCAGACAAAGACATATATGAACATTAAGATAGAAGATCAATGAATATAGCTTATGTTAATGCATATACATGTATATAATCATATATATATATGATTATATATATATATATATGATATTTTGACAGAACTAGAATAAAACATATCATCTATCCAATCAATCAATCATTCAATCAATCATTCAACCAATCAATCAAGCAAGCAAGCAACCAACCAACGAACCAACCGATCTATCGATCTATCGATCTGTCCATCAATCGATCAATTATCTATCTATATATCTATCTTACTTGCTTACTTACTTACTAACTAACTTACTAACTTTCTTACTTACTTTCTTTACTTACTTTACTTACTTTACTGACTTTACTTACTTTACTGACTTTACTTACTTTACAGACTTTACTTTCTTTACTTACTTAACTTACTTAACTTACTTAACTTACTTAACTTACTTAACTTACTTAACTTACTTAACTTACTTACTTCACTTGCTTTGCTTACTTTGCTGACTTTGCTGACTTTCCTTACTTTACCTACTTTGCTTACTTGACTTACTTTACTGTTTTCATTTACTTTACTGTCTTTACTTTGTTTTTTTACTTTCTTTACCTGATTACTTACTTACTTACCTTACCTTACTTTATCTTACCTTACCTTACCTTACCTACTTTACTTACGTTACTTACTTTACTTACTTTACTTATTTGACTTACTTTACTTACTTTACTTACTTTACTTACTTTACTTACTTTACTTACTTTACTTACTTTACTTACTTTACTTACTTTACTTACTTTACTTACTTTACTTACTTTACTTTACTTTACTTTACTTACTTTCTTACGTACTTACTTTCGTACTTACGTACTTACTTACGTACTTACTTACGTACTTACTTACGTACTGACTTACGTACTTACTTACGTACTTACTTACGTACTTACTTACGTACTTACTTACGTACTTACTTACGTACTTACTTACTTACTTACGTACTTACTTACTTGCTTACTTACTTGCTTGCTTACTTACTTACTTACTTATCCATCTTATCTATCTAGTCTATTTTGTCGATCTTATTTATCTTCTCTACCGTATCTATCTTGTCTCTCTAATCTAGCTATTCTCTCCAATCTATCCAAGCTATCTAATCTATAAACCTATCTAATCCATCTAATCTATCTGATCTAGCCACTCTATCTAATCTATCTAATCTATCTAATTTACCTAATCTATCAAATATATCCAATCTATCTAATCTATCTATCTATCTATCTATCTATCTATCTATCTATCTATCTATCTATCTATCTAATCTATCTAATCTATCTAATCTATCTAATCTATTTAATCTATCTAATCTATCTAATTTACCTAATCTATCAAATATATCCAATCTATCTAATCTATCTATCTATCTATCTAACTATCTATCTATCTATCTATCTATCTATCTAATCTATCTAATCTATCTAATCTATCTAATCTATCTAATCTATCTAATCTATCTAATCTATCTAATCTATCTAATCTATCTAATCTATCCAATCTATCTAATCTATCCAATCTATTTGTCTATTTGTCTATTTGTCTATTATTCTATTTGTCTATCTATCTATCGATCAATCGATCTATCTACCTATCTACCTATCTACCTATCTACCTATCTACCTACCTATCTACCTACCTACCTATCTACCTATCTACCTATCTACCTATCTACCTATCTACCTATCTACCTATCTACCTATCTACCTATCTACCTATCTACCTATCTACCTATCTACCTATCTATCTATCTATCTATCTATCCTAATTTATCTTAGCTTGTCTTATCCTATCTTATCTTATCTTATCTTATGTATCTATTTTTCTTTCTTTCTTTCTTTCTTTCTTTCTCTCTCTCTCTCTATATACATATTTTATTGATGCTGGAACGTCCAAATCATCATTTCAGTAGGGGTTGAACTGAGAAGATGACAGCAAGTCCCAGCTCCTAAAAATCGTGGTTCTCTCCATGGTTTTCTGGGAATCTACATGTGGTCATTGCTTTTCTCCAGTTTTTTTTCATGACTTGGCATGATTTTTAGAGTTTTCCGTGGTTTTCCTTGGTTTTTGAAGGCTTCCCGAGATCCCCTTCTCGGTTGACCAAAAAGAAAGCCCTTCACTGCAGCTGGTTCCGAGGTGAGAATGTGAATCATCAGCTCCTTCTGGCCGTCGACACCTGGGTGGTGGCGGAACTCTACAATGGCATACCCAATTGGAAGGAGAACTTTGTCACCAACATCAGCTTCCCCGCACCCAAGGCCAGGATTTTCGAGGAACATATTTGGAGCAACGTGGGGTCGAAGTGGTACAGTGAGTTCAATAGTGGGTCAAAACCCATCATTTTCTGTAAATTTGGGCTATGAAGATCCATAAATCCCAGGTATTTCCCAGCTATTTCCCAGCTATGTTTGCTGTTTGATCGCCGAAAGCGATCTGATTTTGAGAACTTGTCAGGTGACCTAATGATCGCAACGTCGCTCGTGGAAATTGTTGAGTTGACTTCTGTATTCAAACTCAGCTCTTTTTTTCCCATGGTGTCCTGGGTTTGCGCCACCTGCTCCGTACACTTAAGCAGTGTTCAACCCCCCTGGTCGGTTGATGTGATCCAGTAGGGGAATCTTTATTACCCTCTGGTAAACAAACCTACAGAAAATCACCAAATTTTTCATGGGTAAATCTCAACTATTTCGACTGGGCCATGCAAGTTCGCAAACCGTTGACATCACCGGAGGGTATTTCCCATCACTTTAAAGGTCAATTTTGCAGCGAAGGCAGATGGTGTTTACATGCTTTGGCGAAGTGGAGATGTACAGCACACGATGGAAGACGCCAAAAGGAGCTTTGAAGCGCGCAACTTGGAGAGAAATGATGTCCCGAAGGTGCCCCCACGGATTTTTTACCCACCCAAAAATTGTTCATAAATTGTGAATAAATGAGAAAGCAACGAAAAAGTAATGGATGATCAATGGATAAAGGGCTACATCAAGGTCCAGTTTGCAGGGTTGTGCCCCCGTTCGTTGGCTAAATTGGCGAAAAAAACTCCAAAAACTAAGGTTTGAGGTAGATGTATCGCACTAGTTGCAGTAATGGGGTTATACACCAACATATAATTGGGACCACCACCTTGTATATTCTTTATGAAAGGCCCCAAACCCCCAGGGATTTTTTTTCCGGTGATGATACAAGCTGAACCAAGGTCCAGCATTGGGTGCCTTACTGTACGTGAATTTGGATTTTTCTTTGTGAACTGGTTGGGAACCGCAAGTGTATATATATATAATATTATATAATATATTATATATTTTATGTATATATCATATATTATATATATGATATATATGATATATATATATATCATATATGATATATAATGATCATTTAATGATCCTATCTGCCGCAACCACTTAAACGTTGGCTGGCTGTGGTTGGCTTTGGCACGAAATCCAAGGAAACACTCGAGTAGATCCAGAATTGTTTCCAGACAAGTTCGTGGGTTGGCTGGCAGTGACAAGTGCCCCTATCACCGACTGAGAGTGCGTCTGGCCGGATCTTGTTTAGTAATCTACATTAGACTCAAATAGGTTTGTCTGAAAATGGGAACCCCCAATAATTCACTGCTTTCCTTTGCAAAAAGTTATCATTTTCTTCATTAATTTGCCATGATTGGGGAAATTTCGAATTTTCAGACAGACGCCCAAGTATTCTCTCTCCGAGCCGGACTCTGACCATCGATCCGTACAAGCCTGAGAATGGTGGTTCTACTTGGATGTGCATCCCACTTAGTTAACCCCTATAAACCAATCTATAAGTGTGGATATTCCATACCTATATATATATAAATAATAGGGGCTATAACCCAGTTGCAAAGTGGGATGCACCCCTGGGCCCCAAGTATGATGGCCGATGTTCTATGGCTTTCTACCAGCTGTAAGCCCTGTTGCCTGTAAACCAACCCAGGGGTATGACAGTCAGCACAGTCAGATTGAGGAGGCAACAGACTGTGTAAGAAATGGCTATCGCTCAAATTCGGCAGCACCTACAGTAAATTAGGTTGTTACCCTCTGCTAGTTAAGCTGCTAATTTAACATAGCCATGGAAGCCATGTTAAATTAAATTGAATGTTTTACCGTTTCAAACAATGGTGATAAAAAAACTAGCCAGCATTGCTGTTAGTCATTACCAGATGGTTTAGTTCTCCAATAACTATTCCATCAGGACCGACAGACAGACCATGCTTTATGCTTCCAATCGTGTCGGAGTCCCCCAGCCACTTGCATAGCAACAAGCTGTGAAGGCCCTTGCGTGATGTGACTGAGTTTGCTGTATATTAGCATGGGAGTCCCCGCAACCGCAACTTCACCATGATCCCTTTGGCATGGGCAATGTTGTTCGCTTCAGACCTTTTGGGCAAACACGATTATATGCTATCTATGTGCCTAAAGGTGTTTTTGCTTTTATGTTACGCAACTTCGGACCCCCTGCTGCTCTTTGGATGATCTGCTTGCAGATTGATTAGTGAAAAAGGTGGCAGATGGTCAGTGCAGCGCGGGGCTGAAAATCGGGCACCAATTCCAGTGGATGATCATCGTCTATATTAAAAATAGGGCTACTCAGAACATTTCCAGATGCTTTCATCACCAACTCAGCAACTCTGGTCAATTTTCACAAAACAAAAAAAGTAAACATCAGTAAACTATGGAAAAACATCACAAATTTCATTGGGAAATCAACAAACTTCACCAGTCGAATGTCCATGGTTTCCAGTCTGGGTCTGGGATCTCCATGGAGATCTCCATGGACACCACATTGTTTTTTCGCCAGGCACTGGCGCGGCGTCACCTGGCCAAGAAGAGAGTGGCCAAGATCCGCGCGACGCAAATGCGGGTGGGGGCCCCAGCGGACCCAGGGGCTAGCTGATGTTGATGGGAAAAGTCATGGAAATGGATGAGAACTAATGGGGTACCCCCATGGAAATGGGTTTCCCTCATATCTTAGGACAGAAAGATTTTGCCATTGGAACCAGACTCTAATGGCCATGAAATAGAGTAGGCCAGGTTCCCTCTGGTCATGGCTAACGGCTATTCTCACAGATCTCCACTAAGCTTGGATAGTATAAGCCTATCATCAATCAGCCATTGTTTATCAGCTATATCATGTTTAATATCATGTTTAATATCCCCATATGTTTGATGGTTAAATCATGTTAAAACCCTAGTTCTATGATTGGTTACAAGAATTGTTTGTATAAGCTTCATAATTCATCAACCAACAGGGCTAGATCTGCAGCTTATTGGGCAGATGAATCTGGTGAATCTGTGATGAATGCAATCATTTAATGGGAAATCACCATTTTGAATGGGCAAACTCACTATAAATGGCCATTTTCAATAGCTATGTCGTTAAATGTAACCCATTTCATTTTAGTTCATTTCATCCAAGAATTTCTGGGGATTTTCTGGGGTTGAAGCCGCCTCTGCCGAGGCGTCCCACAATGCTGCGACGACCATCCGAAAGAAGCCTGGCCGATCGCGGCGTCGAGGGGAGGACTCATGTGAGTCGGGTGTTTAACCAACAAACACATGGAGGTTCCTAAGTCATGAGACCCAAATCAAAAATTGGAGCATTTTAAAGTTTTTTTTTGTATTGAAACCATGCTTTTGGGGTGCCAGAATTTTAAGAAACATCCGTATGGGATAGTTGCATATCTTGGCTATATTATTTACCACAAGTAATAGGGATATAATAGGGATATAATATGGTATAGTATAGTATAGCATAGTATAGTATAGTATAATATAATAGAATATGATAGAATATATATGGTATATCATATATGATATTATATATTATATATCTATAATATTTTTTGTGTAAGTGAGCAACTGACTATATAGCTAAGTCAACTAATGGAACATGCTGGGTCCCCCCTATTGGGATGGTTTACAATGGAACATACGAATCTAAAATGTATGATGATTTGGGGGTAGCCCTATTTCAGGAAACCTACATAATAAATGTAAGAAAAAATCCCCTGACAACCAATAACTTCTGATTTGGAAGGTATTTTGCAGACCATATCCAACAAAAAAAGGATTTGTGATTGGGGTTGAAAACAAATGACTGCTTTGGAACGGAGCTTGGAACCTGGAAAATGTAGAAGTTGCGAAGTTGCGAAGTGTGGACCGAACGGAGGTCCAAAAACCGTGACGTGGGGACGGACACTTTCCCAAGATGTCAACATTTACTTTACCCTCTGGTTATGACTAACATAGCCATTGTTAAGCCATGGCCCATAGAAATAGATGGTTTACCGAACTTCAAAATGGTGGATCTTTCCAGTTCGCAAACTGTTAGTCATAACCAGATGATTGTTGGTGCCTTGACTTTCATACTGTCAGCGTTTGCTCAGAACAATAGAAGGTGGTGCCCCATAGTTAGCTAAGTTGATTTATAACTCCAATAACTATGGTTTATAGGTGATATATCTATAGTTAATGGGCTTATAAACCAACTTATAACTGGGGGGCACCACCTTGTAGAAGGCAACGTTTTTTGCCAGATTTACTCTCTGGTAGTCCAACGTGGCTAGCTGGAACATCCCCGGACTAGCCAGGTTTCGGTGAATCGTTCGCAAAATCATCGAACTTTTTGTGGGGGATTTTGCAGCAGGTTTGATTGCCATGTCTAAAACGCATTACAGTAACACCTTTATAGATATTTTCCCATCTACGAATTTTCATTTAGTTCGGGGATTTTCCGGCAAACCAGGTAACCACGTTTGATGACACCGGAGGCTAAATCCTCTGAACATCCCATTAAACCTCCGTTTATCCCATTCATATCGGAATAATATCTATTATCTATTCATATTCCATTAACTATCATTAATATCCATTGAGATATCCATTAACTATTAATCTCAATAATTAATGATATCAAATGGGCTATTAATCCATTCATATTCCCATTATAATATCCCATTTGAGATTGCTAATCCCCCAAAAAACCGGCTTGGCTCGATTTTCTGAGGATGTGGTTGGGCCACGTGTATCGACGGCGATACTTGGCACTTCGAAAGGACATTAGTTGCGCGCGCCACGTCCAACCGCCACGGTGGTAGTAACTCCGTGGATTCGATCGCTTACCCTCTGGTAAACTGTCACATAAACAGAACGAACTGGAAAGATCCACCATTTTTCATGGGAAAATTCACGAACTATTCCTGGTGATGTTCCAGTTCGTTTAACAAATTACCAGAGGGTAAATCATCGTAAAATCCATTCATAACGGATGTAATCATGGGATATTAGTGGTTGTAACAATGGGATAACAATGGCACAACAATGGGATAACAATGGGATAACAATGGGATAATATTAATGGTTGTAATAATGGGATGATAATTGTTGGATAATGATGGAATATGAATGGATAACAACGGGATATTAATGGACAATTCCCCTCCGATAATCATTGCTGAAAAAATCGCATAGAAAGTCCGACGATTTCCCCCTGCTTCGCCATAGCAATGATTTCCGGAGGCGTTTTCAAGATCACCATCTTATCCCAATGCAACCATGTCCAATTATATATTAGCCTCTGGTAAACGTTTACATAACTATGGAAAGATCCACCGATCCACTATGCTTTGAATGGGAAAACTCACTCTTTCAATGGCAATTTTCAATAGCTTTTTGTATGTTTACCAGGGTATCCAATGATTTATCTAACATTTTGTTCACTACTGGGAGCTGAGGGTGAACTCGTTCACTTGAAACAACTTGAAGCGCAAGAAATACTTGGCACTGAGGAAATCGGTCGCGCAAATACCTGGGAAAAAGTCACTGGACTTCACCAGCCAAGCTCAAAAACAAACATCTCCTTCGAACATCCCTTTCCCAAACTGATTTAACATGGCCATAGCTTTGGGCAAGTTTCACCCCTCAACTCTCAGATCTACGAGGTTTTTCTGAAGTAGCGGCTACTAGAACCCGAGCAGTACTAGTTCAAATGAGTTAGGTTCAGAAACCAAATTTGAGCTAATCTTGATTCGATAGACAATCCCAATTGGCATCTTTCTTCGGGGGGTCGGGATTTTAACCAGAGGTTTATAGAGGCCCTTTTCCTACAGGCTGATTGATGGAAAAGAGTCAGCCCCCCCCAAACCAGCAGTATATGTTTGCCCCAAGCCTAGCCGTCGATCCCGTTCGAGAAAATGGGCAAAAAAAAATTGGTTGTTAATCACAACCCCACGATGTTGTTGATATTCTAGCAAATTTCTAGCCGAACGGAGCGCATTTCCAACCAGCGGAGGAGTTTCAGGAGCATGAGGGATCAGTGGTCACACTTCAGTCGCACTGACATGTGAAGAGTGCATCCCACTGGGACGTGCTGCTAATGACTAACAGTTTGCGAACTTGAAAATGGCCATTTAGTTGGTTGATTTACCCATTAAACATGGTGATTTTCCATAGTTATGTGAGTTTACCAGAGGGTAATAACCATATTGCAGCCCAGTAATGTATGTGATATTCCCTGTTAGATAAGGGCGGTCATGAAACACAAAAACAATGGGATGCACTCCATCTGGTACCACTCAGTGTCTCAGTGAAACGAATTGATCTGCCATCTGTGGACCCAGAACACTTACCAGCACCTGTGTACTTGATCAACATCGGACAAGGACCTGTTGGGATGGCAAAACCAATACTGAACCCATAGAAATGCCCTGCAAAAAGGAAACATGATTGATCAGGGGATGGCTTTACCTGAGTATCTCCCCTGTTTTTTTCCTGCGTTGCCAGAATGTCGGGCAGAACCTCGCTAAAAACACTAACCAACTTCCGCGTGCCAGGCGTTTTGCTCGCGGATATCTTGTGCGCCTGAGGACAAGAGTTCGGGATGCCTCAACAATTCGTGAATTAGGGGATGAGTAACCAAGGATGAGTGAATTATTAGAGGATGGGTAAACAGTATCTTCATACGTATATATATATACGTATATATATATGCCAAGAATTAGTACCACCAAGAATTACTGAAGCAAGTCCTTTTTTTGCTTCTGGCAACAGGGACGACCTTTGTCACTTGGTGTTTCTTGGTAAAAACAATAGCAGAGTGGGCTGTTTCTTCTGATCCAGCAGGTGGCTATATCATGGTATATCTCAAGACTGACACCAACATGTTTCTACATGCTTCATAATGCTTTACAGATGTCTATAATATATATATATGGTATTATATATAATATAATATGGTAGTATATATATATATATTATAAATTATGATATACATATATATATAATGATATGTTGTGATCGAACAACTTTAAAAGCAACAAGCAAATTCTCTGTGGCCCCCCTGAATCGCTCCAAAGAAATCCAGCGTCACATCTGGACCTCGTGGTGCACAGGATGTGGCGCGATGCGATTCGTTCTGAAGAACAGTTGTGGGCAGCCGTGGAGGACAGAACCAGATACCTGGGAGCCTCAAAAGTGGGGCCGATGATGCTGAACGCTCCGAAAAATCATCAAAAACGGGGTTTTTCAGCATGAAAAATGGTGGTTGAATCATCAGCTTTGAAGCACAGCCATGAACATTTGTCGATTCAAATTTGGAGTAACATAGCCATGCTATGTCATTTTGAGGCATCCGTTTTGACTGCTGACTGTTGCTTTACGCACTCTACAGTGGAGACAACATAAGGCCCCAGTTCGTTAAGTGATCTTAAACTGTCTTAAACCCTATGAATACTATAGTTGCATCATCTTATATTCCCGATTAACCGTACAGTTTTCACAAAGTCATAGATATGAACAAGAAAAGTTATAGTTAGATCTTCCAATGCCAATTGTATCAAGTTATATGCCAACTTGTTAGTTATATAGATTCTATCCCATCACCCTAATATTAAACACCCCAATTGTATGGTCCCAATTCTGTGGAAATTCCCTCCTAAACCATGCTTTCTAAGAGGGTGTCTAGTCTAGTATTTTGTGCGGTATCCGGCTTTTTGAATCAATGGAAGACCTGGATCGTTCCCCTGTTGGATCGCGGGACAAAACTGTCGGATGTCTCCGCAGATGCAGCGCTGCTGGCGCGGCTATCTCGGAAGGCTCAGGCTGTGGGGATGACTGAAGTTCAGTTATGTTAGGATTGGTTCAACACCTGGGATGATATGAATTGTGGTATCATGTGTCATCCTTGATGATCTTGAATCTTGATATTCTGGTCATATTTTTATTATCACCTGGATAAATTATTGCTTAAATTATTGGCTAAACACCTGGGATCCTATGAAAATCTGATCAGCAACTTCTATGAATCGAGTGATCCTCGAGGGATCCTTGGATCTGATCAGGTGGGAAACCGAATATGAACGCCTCTGGGCCCGTGAGAGTGCTGCTGTGATGATCCAAAGGACCCGGATCCAAAGGTGGACCCTGATGGTGGTTTCAAACATAGATAGGGCCCCATTCTTCGAGTATCCAGAAATATCGTAAAGCCATGTTTTGAAACCACGTTACCCTCTGGTAAACTGTCACATAACGAACTGGAAAGATCCACCAATTTTTCATGGGAAAACTCACTATAAATGGTGATTTTCCATAGTTATGTTAGTTTACCAGAGGGTATCATGTTTTCAAACATGGGATTTTTGGATAGTATCCAGGCTGCTAAGGAGGAGAATCATTATCCAATTTATCCAAGAATATGCCTATGGGCAGGTCAAAGTGAAGACCCTGAGAACCAGAAAAAACGGTCATGTGACTCTCGTCGTAAACTAAGCATCCCAGTATTGGGTACCCGTTTGTTGGAGCCATATATCTGTTGCATTCTTTTGTGGCGTAAACTATGAACGGATAGAAGGTTCTGTAAAAACTCCTGCAGTAAAACCATGTATCATACATGTCATCGTACTACTCTGTAGCGTTGGTTCAAAACAGTGCCAGCAGCTTAACGGTTGTGTTGCATTTTACCCCATTTCCGGTTGACCTGGTAAAATACAGGTTATCAGCCGTAGTCTCACTACTTTGCTATGGGGACCCCAATTGACCATCCTCTCGCCGTTCCAGGGTCAGGTCCATCGGCTATCGCTGTGCCGAATGTGGCCGGGGGCAACCCCGAGCCGATGGATGACGAAACAATGTTCCAACCCGTTGTTGCGTACTTTACCTTCATACAAAACAACCTGTCCCAGATTACTAGTGGGAATACCCTGCAAGTCATGAGGGAAGCTGAACAGAGGCACCTTCAGATAATGCATGGAGTAGTTGACTCAATTCGAAACGAATGGTCAAGTAGACTCGTAATGCAAGAGCAGGAGTATGAGCAAAGGCTGCAGGAGGTTGAAGGTAGGGCCATTAGTGCCGTCAACGAGGAGAGGAAACGAGGCGACGAGATGGAGGTCAGGTTGAATCAGGCTCAGGCATCGCATGACAAAAGAATAGAGGATGTTAAGGCAGAGGCAAACACAAAGCATGATCAGAAAATTGCAGAAGAAAGGCAACGTATCACTAGTGAATTCGAAGCTTCCTATGCACAAACAGTTGAACATGCAAAGAATGCCATAGCTGCCACAAAGAAGCAATATGAAGATCAGGCTGCAATTGATCAGGCCAGGTTCATCAGTTTGAGGACCGAGTTCGAGAACTACAAGAAGGAGATGGCCGACAAGATCAACGAGGCAGCGGCTCAGAACCTTAGCCTTCAGGACCAAATCGATGACCTTCAGGAGCAGTTAAAGCATGTTGCCAAAGCGCAGCATGCCTCCGTTCCGAAAGCATCCGTCCAGAACGCCGAGCCGGCCGCTACCACTAGCGTGCCCCACTTCAATATTGCCACTCCCAAAGCATCCGATGCACAGGCTGCCAAAGGCAGTGATGAGCCGATTCATGAGTTGAAGACGCCTGCAGTGTTGGCACAAGAAGCAAAGGCCAAGTTGGATGAGCTGCTCAAAGGTGGCAGTCCCAAGCAAAAGCCGGCTGTCGGCAACGACCAGCCCCAATTGCCAACGCAGTCAGGGTTTTTCACTCCCACTGAAGCTATCAAAACTCCCCCAAATGACTCCCCTAAGAGCGCAACCAAGCAACAGCAAGTGATGGGCCCCTCAGATCTTATTGAATTGGTGAAAGCCTTAACCCAAAGGGAAGAAAAGGATAAGCCAAAAACTAAGGAGGCCGAAATCATCAAGCTGAACAACATGCCCGCTCCGGAGTCGTATAGGACTTGGAAGAATCATGTCAGGGATGAGGTGAAAAGCTGCTCAGATCGCCCGGACGAGGCGTGGCTCTGGCTCAATGAGGTGTACGATCAAGAGTGCACCAGAGAGCAGTTGGAGAAGAAACTCCAAGATCCTGGAAAGTTCCTCACGCTGGATACAAAGTTATCAGCAGCGCTCACGCGCTCAGCCGGAGGGGACCTTGCAACTAGGATCTTGAATTTCAAAGAGCAGCAATCCCGAAAAGGCATCCAGGTCAGGGGAAGGTATGTTCTGCTCATGTTTGAGGACTACTTCAAGACATCAGAAGAAGCAGGTAGCCTTTACAGAGTAGAAGATCTTTTGGGTGTTGTCAAAGTAGGTGATACTGTCCAGGATCTCCGAAGATTCATCAACAAATGGGATGCTACCCTAGCTGGCATGGCTGTCACCCCCGATGATGCTGTGTTAAGGGACATCTTGTTGAGGCAGATCCGACCAAGTCAGTTGCTGAAATATGACATCGAGATGTTTGACCGTGCACATGAGAAGTCCCATGAAAAGTCTTATAGTTTTCTTCACCAATCCATGAAGAACTTGATCGATCGTGAACGATTGAGGGAGAACAGGAACCGCATCGCGGAGAAGAACAAGGCTGGGATCAAGGACACAAAGGCCGCACCTGCCAAAGGCGATGGTCGCGGTGGCCGAAAGGGCTCTCCAAGTCGTGGAAGGTCGCAGGAACGAGGTGGCAAAGGTGAAAAGATTTGCTATAAGTTCCAAAAGGGTACCTGTGATAAGGGGAAGAAGTGTCCATTTAAGCATGTCAAAGATGACAAATCTCGAACTCAATCACCCAGAAGAACCAAAACACGTTCACCATCAAGGGGCAATAAAGATGATAAGGGGAAGAAGATGTCCAAGGAAGAAATGGCCAAAACCCCATGTATCTATCATGCCCAGGGAAAGTGCAGACGTGGTGACAAATGTTTTTATAAGCATGATGACAAAGCTGCTGCCGCCACCAAAGACACCAAAAGAGCCAATTCACCCGCTCCCAAAAAGAAGAGCAAGGATTCAACAGCCGCCCCATGCCTGATCCAGAAGTTTGCATGCATCGTCCGAAAACAGCCGAAGGCAACTTCGTGCTCTGATGAGTCAAGTGTCAGCATGAAGCGTCTTAGATTCCGAAAGGCTCCACATGTGATCGAGGTGAAGGCAGTTGGTCGTCAAGTCCCAGTCAAGCACCGTCCAAGAGAGTTCACTAAGGTGTACAAGACAGCTGAAGATGTTCCGGTTTCATCCAAGGTGGAACAACATGAGGCTCAGGTTCGTGCAAGACAGCTTCAAGAAACTGTGAAACTTCATGATTCAGATGTTGCACCTAGTTGTGGGTTTTGTTGTTGGAATGAGGACACATGTGACATCACATGCAAAGAGTGCAGGTTCATCAGCGGTCCCAAAGCTCTTAGAGACATTGGTCGCTTCCCGTCAATTGCCACAGCTGCGCCAAAGGCCGGCGTTAGTTGGCTTGTCGACTCAGGTAGTGAATCCGATCTTGTGTCCAAGGGTATGTTGAGGGATGTTAGCGCCAAGAACTGCCGTGCAGCCGAGCATCCGATTTCCTTAGTCACAGCCAATGGTTCGACCGAGGCAAATGAGGTTGCTGATGTCAAGTTGTCCGCATTGCCAGATCCTGTGCGTCCGTACGTACTTGATCATACCCCAGCAGTGCTCTCCGTAGGAACAAGATGTGTAGATCAGGGTTACAGTTTCGTATGGCCTGCCAATGGCAAACCAATCCTAGTCCGTCCAGATGACAAGGTCGTCCAGCTCAAGATCGAAGGTCATGTCCCAATCTTGGATGATAGTTGCAAAGTTTATCCCAAAGATCAATTTCAAAAGGATAAGCATCTCAAAAAGTTGTTTGCAATGCCGACCTCACGGTCGAGCTCGAAAGCCAAGCGGGACGAAGCCCAAGATGAAGAGCAACTGGACGAGCTGGTGGAGGATGACGCTCAGCAGGAGTACCTCCGAAGCCGCAAGACTGAGGATTTGCTGGCTGAAGCTGCAAGTACCCAACATCAGTACACGCATTTCCCCAAGAACCCCTTTTGCAGAACCTGCCAACGAGCAAGGATGATGGCACCTCAGGCACGAAAGAAGGGTGGTCAGAAGAGAATCGAAACGGAAGTGTTCGGTGACCACATCATTGGGGATCATGTCATCATCAAGAAAAATGTAGAAGAGGGTTTCAGGGGGGAGCAAGTCGCATTGGTGTTGAAAGATCTGCACACCCAATATCGATATGTCTACCCTAGCCAGTCTAAGGACTCACAAAGCTGTGTTGATGGTTTGAATCACTTCATTGGATCAAAGGATGATGTTCAAGTTGTGTACACTGACAATTCCCCAGAATTGATCAGGGCCATCAAGGATTTGGGTTACAGACATCAAACTTCCATTGAATATGTAGATTCATCAAAGTCTTTTGCTGAGCGCGAAGTTCGCCAGATGTTGGAAGGTGCCCGGAGCAACTTGTTGGAATCAGGACTTCCGTTGAAGATGTGGCCGTTGGCCATGCAGCATCACGCGACCGCGATCAATGCAAGCCCCCAGCTTGACGGCAGTGAATCCCCGTGGCAACTCAGGTTTGGTGAAGAGTTCCCTGCAATGCACATTCCATTTGGTGCCAAAGTGTTGTTCTGGAATAACCCCAAAAGGTTGGATAACACATCAGGTAAGCTCTCCCCAACAGCAAATGAAGGAATTTTCCTTGGGTATTACATCCAACCAGGTCATGACTGGAAGGGTGAATACTTAGTTGCCAAGTTGGAAGCCGCAGATTATCATGTCAACTGGGGTGCACTGACAATTCAAAGAACAAAGAGGTTGGAATTGCCATCCGAGGGTTTCATCTTTCCTTTGAAAGCTCTGATTGACTCGAAAGCACCCAAAGCCGATCGCCTCGAGGACCAGGTCATTCCGAAGACACCCAAAGCTGTGCCTCTTGAGTCCAGCTTGCATCCGCCACAAGATGAGTATGAATACGAGCCAGGAACGCCTCTACCAGCCGACAGCGATGTCGAGCCTGATGCACCCGAAGCGCTCGTATTTCCAGATCTCAAATTGACCCCCAAAGGTGAAATTATTCCAGATGGACATCATTGGGATGGTCACCGGATTGTACGTAACTATAAAGGTTCAAAGCGTCCGGAGGG